CATAACCTGAAAAAAGAAGGGAAGACGGCAGTGCAGCTCAATACGGCTGGAGGCGCATTCCGGGCAGCTTGATATCTTATTGGTATTGTATTGGCAATCTGACACAAAAAGTCGGATTTCTCATATTGGTTCAGCTGACCCCACATGTGGAGCAACTTTTTTCATGTCGGGTATTGGCAATACAATATCCAGGCTTGAACCGACATGAGATCACCTCATAAATTGACTGCTTTGAACCCCAATTGCAGTTGAAATGGCACTTTTGCTACAAATTCCATATTTTATCCACTGTTATTGTTTGGGCAATACAATATGAGCTGCGAGATTTTTTTGGTCTTCATATCGTATTGGGTATTGGGTCAGATATGTTTGCCCCTGGTTACGACATGCAAAGTGTCCGAAAAGTCACATTCGATCGGATTATTTTGGGTGTTGTTCCCAAATCCATCTTCTTTGGGCAACCAGCCCTGATTCCCATTTGCAACGCTGCCACAAATACAATACTGGTATCGTATCGACAATACTCAGTAAAGTAACGGGTCTACAATACTAGAGAAACTGAGACTCAGTAAGGTAGTTGTACCCCCAATACGATACTCAGTAAAGTATTGCAATGGCAATACTGTGCCGCCCAATACCTAGTACCGTATCTTGTCACGATACCGATCAGATACTGATACTGTATCGTAGTATCGCACTCCCAGACACAAAATCAATAGAGATTTTGTACTCGATACTTCCTTGGGCCCATTCCAGTATCGTACTCGGGGGGCGATACGATACTAAGTAAAGTAACGCCATACACGATACTGCCAGGAGGATCAGGCAGTACCGTATTGTGGCTGCGATACTGATACTGACAATACGATACCCAAAAAAAAACTACGATACCGCTACGATACCGATACTGGTAAAGTAATTGTGGCAGTGTTGCCATTTGTCAAACATGTCACAACTTCCATTTACTTCATGAGGCATATATGCACAGCCAGCATATATGCAAAAATATGAGGAGTTCTTGGACTTCCACTCCAAGGGAAGCTCCGGCCGAGGGTCCAATCCAAGGCAACTGTGATGGCCAAAATTTGCCTCAGAGGTATCTTTGGGTGCGCTTTTCCTTGTGGGGGGCATCCAAGGACTCCTTGACATATGTTGCTGAGGCAACTATGAGGGCAGTTCTGGGTGGTCTGGTAAAAAACGGAAAATGTTTGCTGTGATACATCCCGTCCATCTCTGAGAGTTGAGGGCACACAAAATGTTTCTTGAAGGTCATGGGTCCCCCAAGTTTGCCAGTCAGCAGCCACATAATTTGTGTTTTGGTCTGGAGACCTGTTGAGATGTGTTCAGGCATCATCTTGAGCTCTTTTTAAGCTTTCCTGAAGCTTCTCTGAAGCTTGCATGAAGCTTCTGTCAATTCTTTCTGAAGCTTTCATGAATCTTTCATAATGCCGTGGTAGTCACTGGCCTGCCAGAGCCCAGTAGATGGGGGCTGTGCATAGATGAGTTATGTAGACACACCATTACAAAATCATTAACCTCCACCTTTTGCCCAATAGCTAACGTGACACTTTTGTATTGCAGGAGGGGGTGGGCGGCCGGAGCTGGTCGTAAGCACAAGGGAGGTGGAGCCTGATGTTTTGATTTCGCTGTGCAATATACCATAATGCCCAATCAAGGTCAATTGGAAGAGAAAACATTAAGTCGGAAATAAATACACTCACCGCCCACGACCACCGTTGGTTCCTTTTCAGAGGTGGGCCGGAGGCCCAGGGCCTGATGCAATTCAGGAACTGATAACAACAGATCCCGCAGAAGAGGCCCCGGAAACACTCTGGCTTGCAATTCGCGGTCCCAAAAGGTAGAACCGGATAAGAAGATGCGCAACATCAGCGCGGTGAGGAAGGTATTCCCTATATCGCGGCCGGGAGCCAGGTGATTTGAATGGACAGAAGCATTCCGTAGCACGCCGTTGAATGATTCAAATTTTTCGGTAGCAAAGAGACATGCTGGTCCAAACCTTCGAATCGACTCTTGAAGGTGCAATAACATATGGAATTTCGGTTTGTTGACCCAGCGTGCGTTCAAAGACAACAACTGTTTGAGGAAAGAGTCGATGACCATATCGAGCTCCGCGAGGTATTGATTCATATCTTCAATTTCGGTTTGAAAGACATATGAGGCTAGCAGGCACAACTACGTCCACACATGCCTTTTTTCTTCGGTGAGATGTTCAAATAAGACGAAAGGCACCGTTTGCAAGACCGTCCGGAATTCCTTGCCGACAAGGCTCTGATAAAAGTTAATGAGCGTGTTGGGTTGAATTGGAGGTACCTTCAACCCCTTGGTATTAAAGGAGCGCCATTGGCCTGAAAGATCGTTGTACTTTTTGGAACCTGGCTTCATAACGCCCATACTGTCCATGAAGTCCCGGAATAGATTCTTTGTGATTCCCAATAATACCACATGGAGGACTTCGACTGGTGTATCCTTATGCCCGTCAAAGCCTTACATTTTTAAGAACACATGTCAGCAAGATTGAATTGAAAGCTCAGTGTAACCCTAACACAAACCTTTGAGCCTTAACATGGGATTGAATAGGTGGTCTCCCACCTCGCTGTTCAATTGATCCAGTAGCGTAGCCACCTCGCCCGGTGGAAGAGCCGCATGAGCTTCGTGAGCTTTGGTGTAAAAAAATTCGTTAACCGTGTCTCGCAGGCCATACTGACGCGCTAGGTCATCGTGGTGTTTTTTTGTGTGAGGACGAGCCGCCATACTCCAGAGCTCTCGAATCCTCAGGTTGGTTGTCAACCACTGACGAGCAGGTAGGAGTGACTAAGATTCGTAGTTAGCATATAACCGGAAGCTAAAACAGAAGTAATGTAATACCTTGTTTCCCTCTTCATCGATGTGTACAAAGTCTCGTACATACTTGGCGGTCATCTTGTCCTTGGCGCGGTCAACCTTGAGATCACACATACGGCATGGGGTGAGGGTATTGGCAGGGTTAAGGGTATTCGAAATCTCGGCATGCATGGGCGAGTCGCCTAGGTGGCAAAGGACGACCACCATAGCCAGGACCTTGGCGCCAAGAGAGTGGTCATAAGCCACGCAACCATTGGTTGCAAGATCACTGAAAAACAAATATCAACCATGATACGACCATACGAAAGAATTATGAAAATGAAAAACTAACTTTATATTATCCACCACCTCGTCTAGTAAATCGAGGGCCGAGGCACTGTTGGAAGTAGCCAAGAAGTGAAGATTGAATTCTTGGTTACTCCAATGAGGAGGCAGACCCTATAGTGTGAAATACAAGCTCATATGCTTATTCCATTTTTTGGAAACATTGCCGGATGTGTCGTCTGAATAAAGCGTAAGAGGAACGTGTCTGATCACTTTGCCTTTCGCTCTGGCCCTCCATGGGTTCTCAATTGGATGAGCCGGCTGGGCCAACGAATGGGAATCTGGAAAGGCAAACCAAGATTAGGATGTGTGTAGGTAAGGCCGAAAAGGCGGGTATAACATGTGACTCACAGTAGACAAACGGTCTACACAGATCTTTGAGCAATAGGCCACCGTCCAATGTTATTTGGTCAAAAGTTTTTGCAAACTGGTCGCAATCAATAGTGAACAGTTGATCCGAATCAAAAGGACAATCATCAGGGATTATCACTTTGAGGTATGAAGAATCATCCGCCTCATCATCTTCCAGGATCGCCTCTTGCGCTTCTTGTTCCACCAGAGCAGGTATGCACTTCGCCATTGACCGGCCGTTGTGTTGAAAGAAAAAGAACGGGACCACGAGTTCTTCAGACCGAAGCTGGACTGGTTTGTATATGTAGTAATGAATGCTGTTTGATTCAATCATTTGCACATGGAGGTCGGACGAATACCCCTCACGCCACTTCTTACACTGAGAGAACCGGTTGGTGGGGCCATCATCGAGCTCGGGGAGAAACTGCATGTGTGGCCTCACCAACGGATTGGCCAACTCCTACCAAACAGATGATCAATATATATCAGCGCGTGCCGGATATATGAGTCTAGGTCACGGTTCACTCACGTTTTGCACAATTGTTTTTACGTCAAGACCAAACAACGGAGTGCCGGAAGGACTGAGGCATTCATTGAGTCGAAGTCCCATTTGCCTTTTCAATCGGACACTCACAGCCCTCAAAACACCCCACTCAGGAAGTTTGAGGCTGCAAATACGTAGAATGGCGCGATGTCTTGTGTATTGAGACCGGGAAAGGAGGGAGCGAGCGGAACCTATGAGAAGTAGAGCAATGACATGCTGGTTCAGGTGCAAACATCATCAGTTACTATGTAACACACTCTTATAATTGGACACACCTCTTTTTTTTTGAATGGGTACCACATCATGGAATCCTGAATTTTTATTCCGGCGATATCATCTTGGAGAGCTTGCTCGTCAAGTTCTTGTTGCTCAATGGAGTCTTCCTCAAGATTGCCAAGAGTCTCCAATGCATTGCGAAGCTGTTGTAAATCGAGCTCGTGATCGGATTCATCTGCATCCTGGGGGTTGTCCAAAAAGTCAAAGCCAGAAGCGCGAGTTGGATCGAAGGTGCGGAGGAATGACATGGGTGACGGTGGTGTGGGCGGCTCGTCATCCTCGTACAATAACGGGGGTTCAATAGGTTCCTCAGCCTGTGGAGTTGGAGTCCGCTCTGTTGATCTCTTGTGAGTTTGATATTGCTGACAGAGGGCTTCGTCGGCTTGTTGTTGAGCGACAAGGCGCCTGACGGTGTTTTTATGGGATTGAGAGTTGATGTGGGTGTTGTAGACGCGCATGAGGTGGCCACCACACGCGGTGCATCGATATTTCGTCGGCCTCTTGTGTTGTGTCAAACACAAGATGTCTGCAAGTCAAGACGGTGGATGGGTGAGCTACTTCACTTTCTCTGTTTGAAGCGTGGTGGCTTACATGGAGTTGAAGTGGGGGTTTTGGTGGTCATGAATGAGGTGAAGTGGTCTGTCTGCAATGATGCCTTGGATCAAATGGGTTGATGTGACTCCGTGCTTCAGAACTGGAAGGCGCACCACAATCGGCCCCGTTAATATTTTGCTACAGGGGTTGGTGTCATTTGGCTGGCCTGCAAAGCGCTCACGGGCCGCCCACAGCCCAACCTTGTGTGCATGTGGTCATGAAAGGCAGAGACCGCCCGCTGGCTGGCGATGAGCGGTCTGCGTGCGCGTCCTGCGGCCGCCAGAGGACTCAACCAACGTCAGACCGAGCCGGGCCAAATTTGGACACGAAACACTCCCGTGGTGTAGCTTTTGTTCACATCAAAGTTGTGTACGTACACACTCTTTCATGTGATTTTGCACATGTTACATATGCCAAATCATATGTAACTTGACTCTTGAAACTGAGCCTTGAGTTGTAATTGCTGTTTTTTTAAGGTTTTTTATTATATTTGTCTCCCATTGGTCCACTGGTTTAGTAATCAGGGCTGACAGGAATAATACAAGAACACAAGGGCAATTATCACACTTGATTTGTCAATCAAGCCATTTGCAACTTTCATCTAGGCCACTAAGGCAAATTTAGTTGTAAATTGATCTCCTAAGTGCCATGCAATTAGAAAAACAAGCTTGCTTGACATTCTGAGTCAAATAAAACAATCAAAAATTGCTGGGCTCATACAAAACTTATAAACTTTGACAATCATGTTATCAGGTGAGTGTTCAGCTCCTAATATTTTGTATATTGTATTTTCTCAATTAAACCTGGATATCTTTCATGCACTCAGCCCAGATCAATTTGATAAACTTGAGGATGGCTTGGATATGTTGCAATACATCAGTGCTGTTGCACCAAGTCATATTCTCACTGTTGACCAACTTTTCAACCAAAAAATGAGACTCACAATACTCTGGCCGTACCTTCCACTGAAAAGATAGTATAAGCTGAAAGTTAAACCAAAGAGGATGTCATTCCAGAACCTTTGCCAACTCATTGAGAAGCAGCATGAAGGCATGCTCAGCTCTATTGTATTACATGGAAGGCACCAATGATAATGTGGCTGGTGAGGTTGATGCTCCTCTGCATTGCCTGCAAAAAATTGTGGAAGGTGAGATTTTATTTTCTGCAAGGAAGCAGACAACTGTAATAAACTTCTTCAAGCATAATTGTATGTAAATAGTGTTGTTCAGGCTGTTTGTAAACACAAATCATAAGAATTGAATAAAGGGAAATGGTGATAAGAAATCTGAGATCTATGTAAACACAATGAGAGAGGAAAACCTTTTCCTTTTGGTGTCCTTTTTCATACATGCATTTTTTATGCATTTAACGAGAGTTGTTGTGTAACTCATAATCCTCTAGATGCATAAGAAATCCCGCCACCAAAATGTAGGCATTTAGAGGGAGTTGAATATGGTTACTCTGAGATTGTGAGGATATCCCAAAGAAAAACAGTGAAATTGCAGACTAGGTGAGAAACCCAAATGTTGCCCAAGACTAGCACAAGTTGGGCAGGAACCTCAAATACAAACAAAGATGCTGATCCTTGTCCAATTATTTCAATTGACATTTGTGAAACACCATATAATGGCGCTACAAAACCAGTGTGTGTTAAGTTGCCAATGTATTTGTTGTAATAAGCACAAAGCTTCTCTAGGATCCCAGGTGGATTCTATCATGTCTGATCCCTACACATTTTTGGTGGTCCATTCACCTTGGGATCTATTCAAAGGATATAGGGATTATGAATGCTCTTATGGGGTGGAGACTCAGATTTTCTCAGATCCTTAAACATATTCTTTTGATGTATGGATTGAAGGCATTTTTATTGCATAAAAACCTCTTGGAAAGAGAGCTTGGACAACCCCTTCCCCCTGGTTGACATCCAATGATTCCTCAGATTCCTCTGCTAAACGGTATCCATGTAGGCAGTGCCACTTTTTGAAAAAGGGCCCTGTGGCCTATAGTGGCTAGTACCAAAGCCTTTCAACTCCCAGAAAGATCCCAAAAATACCCAAATCCAATGTCCTGACTCAAAACTCAACATTTTCAGTATTTGAGAGCAGTTTCATGGGGTCCTCAGCCTGATCATCTGTAGTGTCAATGTATAAGTTTTCTCAAATATTTTCCTGAATTTCTTCATGGGTTCTTCAAATATTAACATTTTTTGCAGAGACAACCCAATCTCAATTTCAACAACAAAAAACTAACAACCACCTGCACAACTTATCAACTTATCAACAAATTAAGATGAATTCCAATCATCTGATCACATGGTTTGCTATGTAGATTCTTCACAATCATATATCTTGACCTAAACAAGAAAACAAGCTGATATGTTGAGGGGGGGAAATGACCACCCATAATGATGTCCTTGAAGTTACCCCCAGAAAAGAAAAATCATGCATATTCAACACCTGAAAGTTACAATCTAAAGTCTAGGGTCTGATTCCAAGGACATCACCGCCCTTTTCACTACTGTAGAAAGAGTCAGTCCAGCTTGTCCCAACGCAGTGGCTCAAAATCAGGAAGTAAAATCTGGCAAAACACGTTTCAAGACAAAGTACGCCCCTGCGGCTAATGTTGTAAGCTTCCTTGCCACACAACTCCGCTGTAAATTTGGCAAAAGGAAGCGCCCAATGGGGGGCTCGAACCCCCGACAATTCGATCACATCCAATGCTGCGAAGACTTTGTAAAAGTCGAATGCTCTACCGACTGAGCTAACCGGGCTTGTGTTTGGTTCTCCGCTGTTGGTGATATACAGCACGTTATATGCGGCTCCTAGGGACAGCAGAGTGGTGGTGTTGAATGATTTGCAGAGCCAATGAAGTTAGTAACATTTGTAAATCCTCAAAAAATCAAGTGTTTTGAGGCATGGGATCTGAAGAGAAATCCAGACCATGTGCACACCATTTGCTGTTCTACAACAACCATGATAAAGTCATATTATGTAAAAGCTTCCTGAAAAGTTCCCAATCAGTGTGACTTCTTAAGTCTGAGAAAATTCTCATCAAAATTGTTTCAGAGTATCCCTATCATAGAGAATTGTATGAAAAGATGCTGGGTTGATAAATTTAGATCAATTCCACTTGGTGCTTTGAGTCTGACTCTAGACAGTCTTGGAGGCAACTATTGTCACAAGTTTTTATTGAAATGTATCACGGGTCGCAACTCGCAACAGCTCATGAACCAGGTTCAACAGTAACAAACCATTTTTGAAATACAGAGCAATGTGGAGTTGTAACGGTCATGTACACATGGCACTCGACTATCCTGGGCAACAGCGCGCAAATAGTCACATGGACTAGCTTCTGAAACTGGTATGTCCCTGTGGATCACCTACGACACAAATGGTGGCGAACCATACCCGATAATGATGAGTTTTCTTCTTGCAAGAGCCAGATAACCAGAGAAAGTCATGAATAAAAAAAGGAAATGAAAAGACAAGAAATAAATCCAGAAGACTACGTGGATTTGATGTGTGAAGAACTTTACAATTTTGTAGGAGTTTGATATCCAAGATGGAGAGGTAAAGAATCATAACATAATTGCCCAATGAAACTTCAAAATGCACCACCACCTTTGACTAGAGCATTAAATTCAAAAGCAGAGTTGAAATATTGTCCCTTGAGTCACCACCGCAGAGTTCCTAGCTTCCTAGCATATTCCAATCACCTTCCAGCCTTACTCTAACCCTCCCACCTTACTTTCACCTTTGCATCTTACTTTGACCTTCCCATTTTACTTCCACTAAAATTATTCATTAACTCAAACTCTATCCTACCTACCTGCTTTCTTGGCATTATATGCTTTAATATTGATCCCTACAAGATCTATATATTTGCTTTCAACTCCACCTATCTTTTTGCAGACGTGATCTTTGCTTCTCTTTGAATAATTTGTTTATTCATTCAAAATGACATCGTCCATAGTCTTCAACCTTTGTGGACATGCAAGTGTAAGCTAGACCAACAATAACGGTTCTGGGAGGGAAAGTGTTTAAAGGTGAACTTGGCAAAAGTGGAAAAAATTTGTGCGGGTCACCTATTGCGGGCACGCCCGCCTGTTTTCTAGCAAGACCATAAGTTCACAACAAACCCCAATAACATCCTCATGAAGAAAACAGAAACCAATTAGGAAGAAAAAAAAGATAGAAATACTCAGATCTGGACCTTCATTGCAGCTGAACCAACCTAAGCTCTGTTATATGGGTGATTGCAATTATGACACCTTAAATTTCATATTTTCATTTTCTAGAGCTTGTAGTTTTGCGCTTAGTACTTTTTTAGTTGAAGCGTTGAATAGCTCAGGATCTACATTTTACTTTGATCAGACTCGAATCTCTCTTGACGCTTCAAACTTTGTGTCAACTCACGTATTCTGAACGCTATTGTATCAAGGTCGTCCAAAGGGGTCTGAACCAATTGCTGTTGAGAACCAATGCGAATCCAGACTTCTGCCACATGGAGATCAATTTCATCATGATACATTTTTTCAAACAAAATAGGCCTCAAGTCTGGTTGAAGTACAAACTTTGCGTTGAGCAGATGAAGTAATTCTTCTTTTTCATTCATGCTAAGCGAGTCGGATTTGATTTCATCTAAGAGTGTTAAAACCAAGCCATTGCTTGATGATACATTATCCTCTAAGAGGTCTATGACAATTACGTATGCCTTTTTACCCTTTTTGAGGTGTTTGTCTTTTTCGTCCAAAAACAATTTAATCGCTTCTTGTGCTTTTGGCTTGAAAAAATTTGTATAGAACTGATCCACGTCTAGCCACTCGTAAATATATTCTTTGTAGATAGGCATTTTCCATAAATGGCATACAACAGCAATAGCATAATTTGTTTCTTTGTTAGTCAGCGTGTTTCCAATAATCAGGCCTGCAAGCTCTGATATGAACTTTTGAACGGTTTCTCCATCTATAGCAAGCCAGCTGCCCAACAAGAACCTCAATATCATAACATGAATTCCTTGGGGATGATCACTCAAAAGGCCTTCTTTTATACACTCTTCATGGCGTGACATGAAAGAGGCACGGGCAAAGCATTCTCTAATACCTGTCAAAGTTTTCAAGTTAGATAACATCAGGTTCCAGACAAGAATAATACTTACTAAAGCCAATCTCCTTATGCGACATGGTAGATGGGGGTAACATCTTGGCTTCCACAGCTTCTTCATGGTCTAAAGTGTATCAAAATGATTTCAGTTTCACAAGAAGATTCCAGTCCTCAGTATCTCATACGAACCACGTGTGAAGAAGAGCTCTAAAGCAGTCTGAAAGCTTAAGGCATGATGGCTGAATTCAGTCTCAAGGGTCCCTGAGCCTAGTGGAAAATGGTTCTTGTAATATTGGATGATGCCTATAGCCCGAAGTCTATTCAGATACACTAACTTCTTGTCTTTGAGGACTTCACAAAATAATCCCAAGGAATCGATGATAGCTTTTTTATGCCGCATGAACTTGGTTGAATAAAGTATTGAACCTCTTTCGAACCCATTCAGGTGAAGGTGTTCCACTGCAATCAATGAGTTTGACATATTTTCATCGGGTGTTTCACGCATGACAGTACTCATGTTTTGCATGAACTTCTTATAGGGTCTTAATGGACCTGAACGCTCTCCTAGATATGTAGACCAGGATTTCTTTTTCCTGAAACACCTTTGCGAAAAAAATTGATGTAGATTATTGGTGTTTGTTATCATTGTCTTGAAGATTTCATGAGTTTCTTTTAAATCATCTTCAATCATTTAAATATGAATATCAGTTTTGATGATGAGAAAAACAGATGAAAAAAATCAAAAAAGAGACAAACCTGGTAGATCTTCGTAGTAGGTCGATATGTTTAGATACTCTTTCACAGAGCTTGGGATATTTCTCACATCGATTCCTTTGGAGGGCCTTAACAGCTTTGGATGCTCTACACTGGAGGTCAAGAATTTTGGCACTTCCTCTGAAGTTGAAGTCTGGTCTGATATTGGTATAGTTAGAAAATCTCTGAAATTCTTTGGACCTTGTCTATTCTCCTTGTTAGATGGGTTTGAATGCACTACTCGTGAGGTTGATGGATCTTGAACATTCCCAGAAATCTCCTCTTCAGTTCCTATCTCTGAAACCTCTTTTAAAACATTCTTCTTTTTCAATGAATTTGACTGCACTACACTTGAAAATGGTGGCTCTGATACATCCTCTGAAACCTTCTCTTGAGGTGGTAATTTTGAAATCCATGACCCATCTTTCAGTTTTAATGATGTTGACTTCTGCAGGCTAGAGGGGAAGGTACTTTGAAACTCCTCTGATATCTTTTCTTGAGTTGTTAAATCCAAGATATCATCTGCGTGTTGAAGTTCCAACGGATTTGACTGTGCTAGCCCAAAATTTATGCAAAGACTCGAGGCCAAGAATGAATACGGTATGTAGGATTTTAACATGACTTTCCCGACTTCCTGAGGAAAGTGCTTTTTCCTGTCAGACTCTTCTGTAAAGATTTACGCCACTTGCCCATCGATGCAGTGAACACTTATAAGTTATACGTATGATGATAGGCAAACCTTGGCTTATCAATAGAACGAGAGATGTGACACGTCTTCAAGGCTCAAACCTAGCCTACAAATCATCTGTTTGACTCACTGAAAGTTCAGCAAAAATGATCTGACGTGTCACCTTATCAATCTCATTGTTGCAACTGATATGAATCATGAGACTATCACCGTGCCTGCGGATAGGGCTCCCGATGTCCAATGATTTCACCTCACTTTGTTTCGAACTGCTCACAGAGGCCTAGATGCCAGCAGTTCTGGACCTCATGAGCTTGAAGCTCCTTAAGATCAGATTCATCAGCATGCTCAGCCTGAACATCCATTAAGGTTTTCCCTTTCAAGTTACTTGAGTATCAAATCCTTCCTGAATCCTATCTTGTACTTTCTCCGAATTTTCAACTTCCTACAAACAAATCATCAATCAAAACCTCAAAGCATAGAGAAGGCTAAGCTCTCAATCAAAAAACAGGACTCTTGAATGTTTTATTGTCGATTGGAGCCCTTCAAGAATCTATTTTCTTGACTCTCCTTATGTAATAAGAAATTAACCTCATATCAATAGGACCCATCGGATGAGCACGATCCGGTCGATTTAAGACATTGATTGATAACATTGGCCCGTTACTAGTGTTGTCACAAGCTTACCACTGTGAAGCTCGGGTTATAAAATCAGAACAACTCATGGTATACAAAGACTTAGATCACTATTTGAAAAACACAACATGCGTCTTTTCAAAGTGATGTACACATGTGACTCTACTCTCATATATATAAGGGAAAAGCGTGAAATATGTCACATTCACCGAATGACAAATTTGTTTTGTATGGTGATATGAGTGACTCACGAGTCAGATGTTAATAAATCGTACCCGATACAAAGATAAATTTCATCATGAAATATCCATAAAGAACCAAAGAAAAAGAGAAGTGAAAAAGAAATAAAAATACAAAAAAAAGAAAATTTAAAAGGCCAGATGAATGTGAAGGGTGAAAAGCTTCTCAAGTATGTATATATAGGCGGGGTTTGAAAATCAAGATCCATAGGGTTAAAGCGAACCTACAATTGAAAAGACTTCAAATTCAGTAGGACTTTAACATGCACCACCACCTTTGACTAAAGCATTGAAATTAGCAGCAGAATTGAAATATTGTCCAATAACCACTCCAGAGTTCCTAGCAATACATGAATCTACAATTCTTTGTGCCATATCTCCAAGTTCAGCACAAATTCTAGTAACAGGATAATTATTCTAGATATTTTTAAGAAACAAAGAATTAAGAAGATCAGATTGGTAAAATGAATTGAAGAAGAAGTTTAATAGAATTCTAAAAATCAATCAAAACTAAACTCACATCATTACAAAACGTCACGTAAGATCCATGATTGCAACCTAAACGAGTACAAACTCTTGGACCAGCTGCAGCGGTACATTGAGAGCTACCCATACCTTTTAATTTACTTATAACAGCTTTAAGATCCCTGTAAGTAGCCATATCACCTCCTGGGTTACAAATAATCTGTATTGAAAGTTGGTTTTTTGTTACGTTTCAATCAGTGAAGATCCAATAAATCTTTGGTTTTAGAAAAATAATATTTCTAAAAGACTTACGTTATCTCTTTTTTCTAGTTGATGTTTTGGAACATAACTATCTTTCTTCTTTTCAAATTTCTCTTGCGCATAATCAGGATTGATACTGAGGATTTTCTCATAGATTGAATCTATGGTTCCATTGAAGGTATGAATTTCACCTCCTGGAATCACTTCTCCCTTCCAGACTAAATCAGCAGTTTTGTAATCTGGCAATGAGGTAGGATTTCCAGAAACCTAAAAGAAATGTCTAATGCTCAGTTTTAATCGAACTCGAGATTCAGATCCTCGATACGATCATACTTGAAGTCACTCACAAACGATAAGATCACAGAAGCAAATACCAAGGCAAAGGAGTTCATCTTGATTTAATTTTTATGATTATGAAAGAAATTCAAATCTGTTGAAAGATCAAGAAATTTGTCAAGATTAACGATTTGATTGTGAAATTGAGTAAGCTGCTTGAAGAATGAAGTTGAAGATTTGAGTCAATCAAGCTGACTCTTTTATACTTTTCTTGTTCCCACTAGATCATTCATCATTCATCTTGATGTTTTCTAGATTTAGAAATTTCTCTACTCTGAACATTTTGGAATCAGGTATCTTTACAAATGATCTTACAGCTAAACCACAGCGTTCCAATTAGTTCCTGCTGTGTTGAATTAATTCACATTGATATCGAAGTACAACTCAGGCGACATGAAGTGAGTCCTGATGGCTCATATTTTTCTGGCTAAGCCTAACGCGTTCATTGAGGAGAAGGTCAACATACTTGTGATAATCTTTTGCCGTTTGGCTAAGGAGAAAGTCACTAGTCCATATACATTGCATATCTCATAATTCTATGAGCATCTCGCTTAAATGGACGCGCCTATCTTTGGCTATCTTGACCAAAAACCAAGAACCATGTGTGATTTCTGTTTGTACCAACTTATCGCAAGATGTGGACATCCGTCATGAGGGGGCGGGGTCTTTCAAGCCTTTCTGTGGGATCTTCACCTACTTCCGCAACTACGAAAAGATATGTTCAAAGACGTAAGCGATGACCCAAATCGTTCCTTTATGGAAACAGACGCTAGTCCCTCCCACACCAAATGGTTAGTTCCAATCTGCATAGATTACAATTGCCAAGCTATGCAGTCATCCAACTCCCTAAGACTACCGAGAGATGATTGTACATACTGGGATGTACTAGAGATACGTGCTAGGAGGATGCAAGTTAATTTAGCAAACCGATTGGATGGATTAAAATTTAATGAGAGAGAAATTTCCTCGTTATCTCTCGGAATTCCAACGATTTGGTTATTTAGCGGAGTGGAAAGATGAAAACAATCTACTGATCTTGCAAGGGATTTCATGACGTACTGTTGGATTGGAATCAGACACAAACAATAAAGACAGTCAACAAGGTATCGATACTTACAACCTTCAAGTAAGGTACATAATAGTAAACATATTTCTAACAACGTAACTCCATTTGAGATCCTTTTCATCAGTGACTCGCAAGAATAAAGGCTGTGAGTTACGAAGAATTGAGTAAACCTTTTGCAAAAAATTAAGAAAGAGCATTTCATAGATTGATTATGAAAATTGATTTTTAGTTTATGATCATCAACTATGGATCATTTCCACTTTTTTAAATCCTCTTCTCACTATTCAAAAAGAAATATGAACCTACTTCAACTGAGAACAAGTATCAAAAATATGTCACATTATCTTGTACACCACTTTATCTATGAAATTTGTTTTCAAGCATTCTGATTGTACTGGTAATCTGTTTTTCTACTTTTCGAATTGGCTTTTGCAACAAAAAAACCTTTCATGATATCCTTAATCGAGACAATATCTGGGAATTCAAGAATGTGTGTGTGATTGAAAACACATCACTTCAAAAATAATAAATCTTTTAAACACTTCAAAGCCCAATTCCATAACCCAAAAAACTCATATTTCACAAAAAAAAAACCAAAAAAAAACTCTAAAGTACTTTCAATCAATCATGAATCCATTTTCTTTAAACATTTTTCATTCCAATCGTTCTAGGAAACCCAATCACTTCTCTAACATTTTCAATTCCAGAAATCCAACAAACCAATCTATCCCAACCAATCCCAAACCCAGCATGAGGATTAGTTCCAAACCTTCTTAAATCGAAATACCAATCCAATTTACCATCCATACCATCCATACCTTTCTCCTCAACATTTTCCCTTAACCTTTCTTCATTAAACTCTCTTAATGAACCTCCTACAAGTTCTCCAATCCCAGGTACGATCAAATCAAAACAAGCCACAGTTTGTTGATCCGAATTCTTTAACATATAAAACGGTTTGATTCTTTTTGGATAATCGGTAATAAAGACAGGCGATTTAAAGTAAACACCTGCTAACCATTTCTCATGTTCAGAACCTAATGAATCACCCCACTCTACTTTACTCAATCGATTTCCAACTACATCTTCTTCTTCTTCTTTAACACAATTAATTTATTCAATCACTTCACTATAACTAATCCTAGGGCATCTTGTCTGAAGTTCTTCTTTAATCTTATCCGATTTCTTCTTTTCTAATCCTTGTGATTTCCAAACCGATTCTAATTCATCCGAAACTTCTAAACCAATAAATTTAATTAACCTTTCAACTAATCTCATCATCTCTTCTAATTCTTCACAAAACGAAACTTCCACTTCTAACATCCAAAACTCAGCTAAATGTCGATTAGTTTGAGAACTTTCAGCTCTAAAACATGGTCCAAGTGTATAAACTCGACCTAATCCATGTGCAAAGGCTTCTAAATATAATTGACTAGAAACCGATAAATAAGCCGGTTGATTAAAAAACTCTAAATCATCAACGTTTTTCGAAACTTGAGTACTAGGTTGATCTGTTTGAATTCTAAAAACTTCACCTGCTCCTTCACAATCATTAAATGAAATCATCGGTGGATCAGTCTTAAAGAAATCCAACGAATTCAAATAGCTTGAAGCTTGATCTGACATCCTAGACCTTAACCTAAGTACCGAACTCATCAAACCGGTTCTAGTTCGAAGATGTAAATGTTGTCTCAAGAATCCTAAACTATGATCTTTCTTCTGTAAAGGATAAAGATCAGCTGAACACTTTCCAACGACTTCGATTTCATCACATTTCAGTTCTTTTCCTTGTTGGATTCCTTTACTTTTAACTAATTTACCTATTACTTTGAGTGATGAACCGGTTTGGATTCCATGGGATTGGTGGGGGTTTAAGATGATTTGTAAATGATTAGAACATGATCCATCTACCAGTTCAAGGAAACTGATTGATTTTTGGTTTCGAATCGATTTCACCCATCCTTGTACTTTAATGTTCCTACTTGAATCAGGTTCTTGTTGCAAAATCTTTGAAATCACTATTGGTAAATTCCATTCTGTTTCTTCCCTAGATTCGATCGAAAGTTCCTATTTAGATTCCATAAATGAATGTAAATCATCACAAAAGAATAATCAGTTTGAAAAAAAATGGTGGGGATTTGGATGAATCATCATTTGGGTGTTTTTCAAAACTTACTTGTTCTGTAAGATCTAATACTTTTCCCAATAAAATCAAATCTTTAAACTCAGGTTGAATTTTTCCATAAAACACAGACGTCGTCCAATTCTCAGTCCTTTAAATTCATCCATCAATGCCAAAAAAAAAAACATAATTTCATCAATTCAATAAACTCAAAATTAAACTTGTATTTTTTTCAGAAATAAGTAAGAAATCAACAAACCCAAGTTGAATGAAATGAGAATGAATGAAGTTACCTTTGAATTTGATTTGCGATTTGAGAAAACGTTAATGATTTTCGATCTTTAGCTTGAATTAATTTCTACAGAAAAGATAATCCAATCATTAGTATCATTTCTTTTCCTTTTCTCCAATCTCCAAGTAAGAATGTGTAGAGTGAGTGACTTACATTGTAGGTTGAAGTATGAAGTGATCTGGTTCTGATTAGTTGTTTACCAAATCGATGAACTAACATGCTGAGCTAATCAAACCAAGTACATAGTTCAAAGTTACATTCCAAGTCAAGATATGTTGCTTAAGGTAGACTTAAGTTAAGTTGTACACTTAACCTGCTTCTCATTCCATTCACTCTCTCTCTGTTTCTCTTCAGTCTGATAATTCCACAAAATGATTGACTTTAACCAATTCTCAATTCCCATCAACTACTCAACCATCCTACTCTTCATACCAACACTCACTGCAATCCTAATCGCCTATCTACAACACAAAAACCTAATCACTTCTCCATTTTCTCAACCTAAACCATCAACCAAAACCAAACCAAACCAAATAGAAAAAGCAAAAGCAAAATGTGAAAATTGTTTAAATGAAAAACCAATTCAAGAATTAAAAACATGTTCAAGATGTAAAGAAATCTCAAATCTATCAATTTATTTTTGTAATCAATCTTGTCAAAGATCGAATTGGAAATCACATAAATTAAATTGTGGTCAACTTAAAAACCTTTTGAAGGTTAATGAAAACTTACCAGATGGGATTTCGTCTAGAGATCAATTAGAACATTTACTTGGGAATTGGTTTAGTAGATTTTATACATCTTAAATCATTGAAAACTTCTTAAACTAACTTTGATTTGTTTTTTTGTGATTCAAAAGGTGTGAATTCCATCGACATTTACTAATCTTTTCAACAATCCAAGCTCTAGAAATCCCAAAACACCCGCTCAATTCTCTCCAAAACCTATTCTTAATTTCCATCAATTTCAATCCAAACCAAACCAACCAAACCAAAGAAGATGAAATCCATTCAAGATTCTCATTAGATTTCTTTCAAGTTCTTCATTCGAAATCATTCCTAGAAATCAATCCAGCTATGAATTCAGCTTTTGAAGAAATCGATTCGATTCGTTTTAAAATCAAACAGAAAGGTGGAACGGGTGTTGCTATGCTTTTAGTTAGATGTGGTCCTGTTGTACAAGTAATTCAAACCTCCTTCTTTAACCAAATTTCAGGATCATCAGGCTTACTCTTTGTTTTGCGTTTTGTTTGGGTTTCTGGTGTAGGTCATTCCGGTTGGTTTACCTTCTCAAAATGATTTGAATTCGGTCAAGTATGAAAAAGATTGGAAAGTTCAATTTGAAAATTCAATTAAAGCTGGAATAAAACTAAATCCACTTCCTAAACCTATTACTCAAAAGTGATACCATAAATTCGTGTTGTTTCTATAGAAAGAATGGACCTTTTTGGATCGAAATTCGGTTTGTGGATTGGATTGGAGTACCAACGAGAAAAGTATTTAAATAATGAATCAATCTAATTCCAGTTCCTAGTCTCTTATGGTGTTTTCTTTCTGGAAAACGATCCAGAAAACCTACTATAAACCCATTCAAATGTATCCTTTCCAAAAAAAAAAGAAACCATGTTTTGATGATTAATCCAAAATTGTATACATACAACCAAATCAAAAAAGTATAAAAAGAAACCAATTAAATTTGAATCAAAAGAAAGAAATTACAAGAAACAGAAATAAGTATTTTTCAAGAAATGAAAAGTTCAAAAAAACGTCAAAGGTTTAGAAAGAACTTTGTTTTCTATCGAACGGAAGAAAATCGATTAATCCCACTACAAAAAATCAAAAATAATCAGTACTCCAAACCCTTCATTTGTAAAAAAAAGAAAAGCAAACAAACCACCAAAGGATTACTCCCAGCAGTACCAGTACCTTTCGAATGACCAAGTTCAATAGCTTCTAAAACCCTAGTTTTATTCCCATCCCGTTTCTGTTGAGCCAACGAATCACTTAACTTTCCAGATCCAGCTTTTCTTTGGTTATCAATTTCTCTACTTTCTGCTGCTTTGGCTAATCTTTCTCTCATCTCTTTTGGGTTTGGAGAATTGATGGGTTTGGGTTTGGGTTTGGGTTGAGATTGAGGGTTAGGGGTTGGGAATGTGTTGAGTTGGTATCCTTCTCCTCTATTTTTTCGAAAAAAACAAACATAAATCGATTTTAATGTAATGATGAGTTTTACAAGACTTTTTGGGTGGCGGTGTAAGGTTTATTTACCACTATATATGTAGTTTAAATTGAATGAAACTTAACTCGAAATGTTGAGATTTACCACACATTGCACCCATTGTTTTTTTTCTTGAAATCCTTGATGTATCTTGTATATATGTAGTTTATATCTTTATTCGAATTTAAGACTTGAAGGAAATTTAAAATCAAATCGGATTAAGTTATAATCAATTGATAAAGACGAAACTTATTCAAAGTAAAGGTTTGTAAAGTAAGATCCAAAACTGAAAAGATGAAGAAAAAAGAAACTTCGAAGAAAGCTTTATAATTTAATTTAGAAATTTGGTTCAATATTTTTTTTTTTTTCAAAATTTTTACACTTGGTTTCGACGACGATAGAGAGAGAGAGATGATCATCAAAAAAATCCAAGGCTGAGCTTTTCACAAAGAAATTTAAAATGATAAATCCGGCTCCGAGATGAACCAGCCCCGATTTCTTCCGGTACTTGAATGTTTTAAACTTGACAAGCAAATGATGAGTAAGAGAATTTATTGACTGTGCAAATTGGAGTTCTATGGACTCAAAATAGCTAAGCGAAGCCTGAATTAAAGACAAGAGTTCGTATAATATTTTAAAGATGTTGTACTTCAAATCTTGACTTCTTTAAGGTTTTCATGCAAAATTATCATTCTTTCTTCAAGTTGACCATATCTGCTAAATACACAAACCCCTTCTTTATAATCCCTTTGACCAATGATATATCCAGCCAGTACCTTGTAAATACATCAACCGTATGCTTTTGATGAAATCTATATATCCTACCTTAGAAATCGAGAAAGATATCCAATCCCAATAAATCGAAACTCACTCGCAAGAGTAAGAAGTATAACATAAACGAGAAACGACCACCCTTAAAGCTAATCCAGGTCAAGAAACCTTTCCACGACTTTAATGAATTCAATCTCAAGACCAAAAGTGTGATAAATAAAGATCATGTCTTATTCAAAGAATCATTAAATGAATCAAGTTCGTGGTCAAATAAAAGCACGACCCAATCCTAACCCAACAAACCCTAAAAAAAATTACCAACCAAAACCCATTCAATCAACAAAAAATCAAGTTCGAGTTGAAAATCAAATCAAAAAAAACTAAACCCCAACCGATTCCTTGCATCAACAAATTTCCTAATCGATTCTTCAAAAATCGACGATTTGAAGCTGAAGATAATAAACTTTGACGAGTTTGTTGACGTTGATGATAAAGTATATAAAATCCTGTACTTAATCCAGCTGTTGTACCAATCAATCGACAAGAAGTACAATCGTTCATTTTGGTTTTCTTGTAATATTTATAACGGTCAAAGTCGTTTAGAAGAAATTATTCAAGATCACAGTACATACTGGAAATTGGAATCGACTGACAGACAAGTTTTGATACATATGTAAGAAGGGCTCGGGGCAGGGAGGATTTTGAAGTGTCCCCGACCACCAGTGCCACTTCTCAAACTGGACCACCACTTTCGATTGCATCTCTCAAAAATTGTAGGCTTGAAGGTTTCCCAAACTTAACCAAGTCCCTCTCGGCCAAACAAGTCGTCAAGAGAGGGACTTACCGCTAAAACGCAAAGTTTTGCTTGAGAAGTGAGCTGTATCCGACAAAAAATCGCTACATCGCTCCATCTTCTTTGTTTATTTATAAACACTCTTTGATGTAAAATGAAAGGTACATTGCCCAGTCCAGTTACATGTCCTACAAGTTTCAGATATCAAATACCTCACCTGGAGGAAGAGATACCACAGGATATCCACAACCCGTCCTAAGTTGAGCTCTTCAAATGCTGCAGTGGCAGAAAGTGAGTGAGAATACAAACCCTATTGTAGAACTGCAGTTTGGCGCATGGAGAAATTTTGCGCCAGGTGCGCAAATTTTTTTGCAAAGTTCCTGCAGACATTTTATTACAAATCTCACATGTCTGTCTCTGGCTAAGTTATTGCTCATATTTGTCTTGAAACATTCTTCATTACAAAAAATGCTCCGCCAAACTTGCAGCCTGACTCAGATGCTGTCAGCCAAAGCAACCTCGCTCAACATAAAGACCAACCAGAAAGTCTCTCATAAGGGCGGCAGGCCGGAACCTATTGGTGGCCTTACCAATGCATCCCAATCAAGCCAAGCTGAGGTCGCTGGCAAAGTATTTCGAGATAAATAGTAGTACACAAATATGAAAACTGTATGAAAAACCCGCATGAAAAATCCGCATGAAACTGCATGGTTTTTTTGGGTTTCCCCGCAAAAACCAAAAAAACCATGCGGATTTTCATGCGGTTTTTCATACAGTTTTCCCATATGGTTTTGATATTTGTGTATGGTTGGTAGTGCCAAGAAGCGTCAAAGGTCGGACCAGCAGGTATCAGTCTCTTGAATAACAAGCTGATGTTTCTTATTGCGGGAATGGGGTATGGCAAGAGTCTCATACCCAAGCTATTTGGCAATTTGCATACAGAAGGAATAATTCTTCTGATCTGCCCATTGGATGCGCTTGGGGATGACCAGGTTTGTCTCTGATTTTTTTGCTACTCATGACACTGTGTCTGAGTGTCATGTTCCCGCATTGTTGAAGGTATTGGAAAAAGCCTTAATAGGCAAAACTGCCATTAAATTGACATTGAAAACAATAACCAAGGCAAGCATGAGCAACATCTTGTTGGGAAAATATCGCTACGTATATATGGTGAGTCATTTCTCCTTTTTGGGGTTCACGACACACAACAAGACAATGAACTGACTTCTACATATTTTAGAGCCCAGAAATTGCTCTTACAAACCGAATGTTTGAGCAGCTGTGGCAGAATCCACATTTTCAGAAGTCTGTAATCCTGAAAGTCATGGATGAAGCCCACATGATTTACACATGGGGGCTTGTTGAGTCTTGAAAGGCAAAGACAATGTCCAGTCATGTCAAAGTCCAGGATAAGGGAGCCTTCCGACCGCATTACAGGAAACTTGTCCACCAATTCTTGGCTACAGATAATGTGCCCCTTCTGTTGATGTCTGCAACATGTTGACCCCAGGCAGTTGATGCAATATTGGAAAACCTTAAACTGAAACACGAAGAAGTTCAATTTTATCACAGCGAGTTAGCACAACCAGAGATTTGTCTGATTTGACACACATTCAAACGTCCGCTCCATGCTTCTCTGCGCGGTCTTGTTGCCGCCGAAGCACTAGTACCGAGTGCCTCAATCCCACCTTCCTTGATCTACTTCATCAATCTTTCATGGAGTTAGTGGTAGGCTCTGGCCTGCCAGAGCCTAGTAGATGGGGGCTGTGAACATTTCCTAGAACATATCTTGGGCTCTGAAGTCATCATGATGCAGTTTGAGGTGTTATTAGCTTCCATAAACACTTGGAAGACTGAAAACCCAGCATCTTTGAGTGCTACCAATGTAGAAGCAAGCCATGATAGTTCTAAACTCAAGCTGCCTTGGCGTTCTAAACCAAAGCCTTGGGTACCTCTATCAGTTGAGGGGTCCAAGTTGGAGAAATATCAGAAGGAAAAATCTAAGCAAGACAAAAGGGAGCAAGAAGAGACTTTCAGATTGGAAAAAAATTCTCAGAAGGCACACAACACTGAACTAGAGAAAAATTGTAAGGGAAAAGCTAAACAAGAGAGAAAGGAGCGTGAAGAAAATCTCAGAATCAAAAAAGCAGCTCAAAAGGCACATATTGCCCAAGCAGAGAAAGCTCACAAGGAATTGGCTAAGCAGGATAAAAAGGTGCAGGAAGAACAACTTAGAATGGCAAAAGCGGCTCAAAAGGCCTGTGGTAAACTCAAAAAGGAAGAAGATTGTGCTTGCAAAGTCTCAAAAAAGTGTGACTCAGATGGAACCAACAACTCAAAGGCCAAAAAAATTAAAAACCAAGCAGTGGTCAGTTTGAGTTGAATTGCCTAATTCAAATCTAATAGTTGCAATTGACATCATGCTTTTTGCTTTGGCCTCATCAAGCTTGGTAGTCCTTTGGTGGAATCATTGTTCACTCTGCCGCGGAACCTCATCCTTCGGCTCGCCCTCTTCCCCTTCCTCAATTTCATCATCTACCTGAACCATATTTGGACCTCCCCATTGGAAGCGAGACCCTTGACCCCCGACTCTCTCAGCCCAAGTAGTCCGTATCATGGCTTGAATTCCGATCATGTAAGCGGTAGTAACGGGTAAGGTGTTTGGAGGATTCCTGGATATGTGGAGCTTGTTTTGGGCATAGCGTAAAAAGTTTTTCATGGATTCTGTTGTGACTTGGGATGAATTGTTTTGAAAAGATATGTTGTGTCCTGCTTGCATCTTCAATTGTTGAATGAGCATTTGGAGCTGAACGATCCAGATCAATGTGGGTTAGATACATGAATGTGATGCAACTTTTGTGATTATCTAGTGGAACGTTTGATGAAAATTGATCCATAAGGCGCTGGATATCAGTCACATTACCCTATGGTGGGAACATACAAGATCAGTTGAGGTGAGAGAGGATAGAGGAAATAGATGTTGGATATGAAAACCTTACTGTATTATTGTAAATGTGCTTCAGCCAGCAGTTATTAACTTCTAGAAATTTATTTACAGCCAACCAGTGATTGGCACGGCCATTTGAAGGTATTAACATCATATGTTTGATGACTTTGGCTAGTTAGGCGGCAGGTATTGCTCAAGCATTAGGACCATATGAGGTAGGTGGCAAGAATAATGTGACAGACCACTGATCCCTTGCAACATTATTGACCAGCGCTTCCAAATGAGCATCAGTTGCCCAATATCCCCTGCTCAAGTTGCATTTTGAGCCTTGATGACCGTTGCAAAGTCTCGTAGACGGTATAGTAAGTTGAGACGAATGCTGTTCCCAGAGTTTTGAGCTGATTGAAATGCCAAGGGGTGAAAGTAATCCTCTCACACACCTCTCCATAAGTTTTATGCAGTCTTCTTCCTTAGATAGATCTACAGGGCCCAGTGATTCCAACACCTCCCTAGATAAAGCACAATCCGACAATCAACAGGAAAAATGAAGTCAGTTTGCTGAAAGCAAACTAAGTGCAAAACAACTACACAGGCGAAGTCATCAAGGTCAGATAATTAAATCACTCACGTCAATACAAAAAAAGGGATGCATCATGCATCTTTTTTGTCATCATCATTAAAGTATTGAAGTCTTGCTGAGACGGATGCTTTGTTTCGCCACCCAGGGCTTCAACCGTTCTCCAAGCCCCAGTATCTTGCCCATCCTTTGAATTGCCCCAGCGCAGTGAACACAAGGCCTTACACATATTCCATGTGGCGTGGGCTGGGCTAAAGATGGTGAGTAGCCACCCAAGAGAATCAGCTTGGTGAATGGAAGGAAATCGTTTTTGACATAAGCTTTCAACCAATTCATTAGACCCAACGTCTCCTTCAGCTACAAACACACCATCAGCAAATGATTCCGCATCCACTCCAATTTGGGAGAGGACTTCTTCTAATACCCATGCCACACCTTCCGCCGAAGAATCAGGGGCATCCGTCAATTGTAAGAAAAAGATATTCGGTGCATACATTTTGATGGGATCAATTGCTGTAGGCTGAGTTGTCAAAGTGGGTAATTTTATACTATCACGACTAGGAAGGTGATCAACATAGGTCTGCAATGCCACAGCAAGTTGAGCTAAGACAAGACTCTTCCAGTGTGATATTTGTTGAGGCAAAGGGATGAACATTGAGAGATCTACCGGACGGCCCTCAGCCTCGGACATGGCCCTCTCAAAAGCCTTGAGATCAACGTCCTCAGGCAGCACTCCTTCTAACAGTCCCGGTGGGGGAATATGGATAAATCCCCAGGTGCCGTGAAAAGTTTGGCTGGCTGTCTCCACGTGATGGTTATGTACCCCCATATGGATGTCAAGATTATTGAAGCAGAGGAAAGGTCTAATAATGTGATTCTTCTTGAAGACTTGTATCAAACAATTAGCTTGTATTATTTGTAACCGGTCCATTAGTCGAAGTGAGCTATCTCGTGAGACGGTAAGACCCAGACTGTCTAAGAACTCGTTGACATGGCAGCTCACACCACCGGCCACAAACGCGATACCGTTGAGGACTTGGTAAGCATTGCTTTGTCGATTGCAGGCAATGGCGAGCATGGAGCATATTTCCATTGGAAGCTATCAAAACAATTCCCATCAGCATGTGATTAAAGAATTGACACGCTACTGAGAAAGCAGACTTACGGTCTTCAACTTGTGCTCTTGCATTCCAGCAGCCCGCTTGGAAACATGAACTAAATTGTCAATCCAAGCAGGTCAGAATTGAGCGTGGGGTCTAAAGGGATCTCAGATCCCTGATCAGAACAGTAACAACACAACTCTCAGTCAAGAAACTATTTGGAGAAGGATGATCCGGAGAGTTGATGGGATGATAAGGTGTTGTAGTTGAGGAAATCAATAATGAATAGTATTTCTTTTATCCAACCAAACCAAAGTGAGAAGAGAAAAGAAATTGACAACAATGATTGATTCATACCTGATCAGAACAGTAACAACACAACTATCAGTGAAGAAACTATTTGGAGAAGGATGATCCGGAGAGTTGATGGGATGATAAGGTGTTGTGTTGGAGAAGAAATTCTTGCGTTGTGGGTGTGTTCAAAACCATTAAGGAATATTGCTTCACTCTTATATTGGCGTATGGACTTCTGGACCAATTTGGAAGGGATGGATACAAATCAACTAAATTAAGGCTGAGATTGTGATTGAAATCAAGATAGTGTTAGAGCATCTCCAACGCAGACCTGCAAACGTAACGTTTCAGACATACACGTAAGGTGTATTTTACGTTTGCAGGTCTAGGTCACAAATCGACCATCCAGCGCGGTCTGGAAACGTAAAAGCTCACCATCCGTGTGAGCCTCAATATCCAGCAAACCCTGTTTCACACGGTCAGTACTCAAAATATGAAGTACCAACCAAATATTTGCAGCAAACTGTATTGTCCCAGTATTGGACGTACATTTGGCACATGTGGTGATAAAGTCACCACATGCGTCCTATTTTCTTGTTGTCCAACCAATTGATGGCTATTTGGTGGCTCGATTGGGTGAGGGTTTGGCAACTTGGGCAGCTCAAAACGACTCAAAAATTTATACCGATTTGCGCGTTGGATGGAACGAAGCTGGATATAAAATACAGCTGTCAAAGTTTTTCCAGCAAGCTTTTTTTGGCTCTGTATTCGGTTTACAGATCAGGTCCGCGGTGGAGATGCTCTTAGAAGGTTATTACCAGATTGGGATAAGGAAAGGGGTAGACTAACTATTGTAGAAGTTTTGTTGTTTTGAACTTGTGATTGTGTCATTTGTGTTTTCCCTTTTAAACCTCCCTCTCTTCTCACCTGAATCTTTTTCCCCCATTGTGGAAAAAGATTCTAAAGGTGAGCTAGTATTTTGTTCAATCCTCCATATCGTGAACCTCACTAAATCAGGTGCTCGATTACTTTTATGCCCTTGTGTTTTGTTTTCATTCTTATTTCTCTTTTATATTTCTCTCTCTCAGTTTCTTCATCATCCACGCACCTTTTGTCCAGGTTTGTTTACCGAGTTTAGAACTCGTGTTCTTAGTTGTCAGCCCGTGTCTAGTCAACACCAGGCTGAACATATTTCATCACCTTTATAAAGGTTAGTAGTAGTGTCTTAGAAATTAAAAACCCCATTGTGGAAAAAGATTCTAAAGTTTCTTCATCATCCACGCACCTTTTGTCCAGGTTTGAGACATTTCATTATGGCAATACCCGTCAAACAACGGAAGAACTCTACCTTTCAAATTGAGAAAGAAGACCATTCGGTTGATTCGATCGCATTCATAAGACAATTGGTTTTTGAACGTGAATCACATCATCCCTCATTTCCCTTGGTATAAGGACAAATCAACGCTGGTCTCCAAGAACAAAAGCTTGTCTCTGATCAACTCGACCAAATCAACATCGATGAAACGGACCAGCGGTAATTTAGACCAATGTGATTACATTTTTAAACAATCTATAATCGATTTTCTCAAAACAGAATCAAGTACATAATTAATGGTACATACTTATTACTTAAAGTTCACGAGTCACCCTGCGTGCCTTGGGTCACTCTGCCAAGAACATTTCAAGCCATTCGATTCAGTCAAACCGTTCAAGATCATAAATCAAAATCGATGTCATTCTGACTACTACATGATCTTAGACTCTTAAGCGAAATGACTTTGGGTGCAACAAGATGATAGAATGCGAAAAAGAGAAATCGGCGGAAGAACGATTAAGCAAATGTTGCTACAAAGTACCCTATCAGTTATTAATACAAAGAGGTGATAAAGATGAGTTGTAAAAGAGTTAAAAGACAAGATTATTTTATCAAGCCAAATCTATCAAGATCCGTTCCTTTTCTGATTCAACAACATCATGATAGCTGTCAGGGTCTATGAGCTTTTGAAAATCACGGTACAATTCCATTTCACTAGGTGTACGTGCAGTGACACAACTGTAGATTAGATTGAAAGCCTATGCAATCCAAACATAAGAAAGATTAACTTGGTCCGATTTGATTGGTGATACGAGAAAAGTGATTAAGATCATATAACAGGACAAAACTTACCATTATGAGCGGCAGATGAACAAAGCCAATCAAGAGTGACCACGTTGGTTCCTCAAATACTTCGGATCCATACAGTGCATATATGCTAATGATATGTAGCGTGCTTGTGGTAAAAAGATGCCATGGGTAATAAGTGACAATGAAGCCTGCCATCCAGGGAAAGACGATTACAATCCTGTGTTGGGAGCAAAAAAAGAGAGTGCGGGTTAGCTGCTGAATATGTGCCATGAATTCAGAGTCCAAAAACCTACGGAAAAGTAATCAAAAGAAACTAGAGACGGAAATCGAGCAAATTGACCGATCAGTAAGCTTGAAAGAGGATGATTGTGATATGGAAACGCTGCTCACCACGGCTAATGATAGAAAGGATGGTTCAGATCCTGGAGTCATATTCGAATATCTCAAAACTAGCCAGCCAAATAGGTTAGCATTTTGAAATGGAGAAAAGTTAATTTGATTGAAGAAAGGGTGATTTACTGGCAGGCAGGAGGATGCTCCCTGAAGCACAGAAGCATAGTACGCCACCGCAGAGCATCACTAAGACCGCAATCAGTCTGTTCTGTTCGCATCGCTCGACGAGGTAAGGCATTTGATGTGTGGAGTAAGTGGAAGAAACGGAGTGAGGTGTTAAAGTCAAAACAGTGCGATCCAGAAGGTGTAGAGTGATTCAAGTTGTGGAGCGAAAAGTTGTTGGGCATAGATAGGACAAAGTAAAGGGTCACAAGTTTATAAAGTGTCAAGCTACGTAGTGTCCCTGATCGTCTGAATTAGCCTAAGCCATCTTCAGATGGATCTTATTTTGACCTTGTCCAGCTAATCCATCGAAATTAAAGTCCGATAGTAGATTCACTTCATTCCAATCAATAACTCATCAGGGCAATTCTACGTTGTTCATGCGCAGCTTGCTGGCTTGCTCAGATCACTATAACCATCAGGGCAAATATACATCGCTGGATCACTTCATCAACCTCAATTGTCAACTTATAAAGCTATCATGGCTAGTAAATCAACTCAATTCTGCGAAGCAAAACAAGCTTAGAGTCTCTAAAGCTTTTCTCTTTCGATATCGATCTGGAGCTACTTCTTCACCCACATCTTCCACATTTCAATGGCTTGAGTACTTCTCAAATCAATCTCAGAAGTCCGACAACGAACAAAGTCAGCAAACGACAATGGTGAAATACCATTAACCCAATTGCCAGAAGCCGACCAAGTCGAAAGGATCGAGGCTGCTGGTCTTTTACTTGATGAGGGCAAAGGAAACATTCTTGAACGGTTCCTCCCAACGAGCTTCAAACAGGTTTCTTCAAGCATAAAGACAGCATTCGAGATTCTCATCAACTGGTTTTTCTCAGAAGTTATCGACAGCAATGGGGTCTTGATGTCTTCACCATTCGGGACACTTGAGCGCCTTGTGATTGAGGGTCTCATTTCAATGCTACTCAACATGCACTTCTTACTCCAAAACAAACCATGTATGTCCTTCTGTAAGTATCGTATGGAGAATCCTCGCTTACATTTGCTTTAACACACCTGGTAGACTTTTTTGAATCATGGTTGAAATGGATTACATTCATTTCCTTTCCACAGATTGTACTGGTAGCGATTGGTCTGAGATTTCACATTACCTTAACGATCACTTTCTACAGAACGGTGAGTAATGATTCAGCGTCCAAAGTTTATATTCTACTGTTCTACTTTGCTGACCTACCTTTATACTTCCATTGCAGATGTTACGCAAGTGTTATTTTATGAAAGGAGTGCTTCTTGTCATTGCCCAGATTGCTGGCTCCTATGTTGGAATACGGTTGAAAGGTTCAATAGACAAAACTGTTGAATTATGTCAAGCAGCCGATCTTTCCTTCCAAAGACTTGATTCAAGTCGCTGCTTGACCTTCACTTTGTATTTCATTGCAGGATTTTTGTTGGGTGTGGACGCGAGATTTGCAATAAGGGGGAACTCTGGTTACCAGTGGGGAGGATCTGGTCTTGAGTTAGTCAATCTCAGGTTTGTATCAACAATAAATTCGATATAAGATCATCAGTTTTGTTCATCTTTATGCTAGAGTTGTTTAAAACAGTGAAATAGATGATGATCCTAAGTTAGGATCGAGACTATGGGCTTTACAATGTAAATCGGAAAGGTTTTTACAAAAAAAGGTTAGAAAGAAGCAATTGGCCCCAACAATTGACGTGATAGGTGGCTAAGATTATTAGAAATCCAATTGAGAGTCCCGGAGCTAACAATTTAGATTACATGTTTGAGATTTGGGTCTTGTATTGTTTACCTATTGAAGTAGTTATCAAATAGATTGGACCAGGTATGAATTACTCTTGGAACCATTTCCTGGTAATACTTTCTCTCTATTTCTTGAAACAGGCTTGATACCAATTTTTTGCTTTACTTTATAAAAATCAATGTGAAAATGCAAGTATAAATCCAATCAATGGGTCAGCAATTGTAGTGAAAGGATTATCCAGCGCATTGAAGAATCTGAAAGTACCCAATGGATTTAAAGATCTGAGAGCTTGTGGTGTGATGTGTATTGCAAACTATCTCACCTGAATGGACAACTTGGATCCAATTCCTAGACAATCAACACATGCACTTTGTTCACTCCTATCTATGATTCAATTTCATCAACCAGTCACATCTGGATTTATAACATGCCTTGGTATCATCTGCACTATTGTGCTCAGGCTTTCATCTGGCATGTATTGAGATGTTTTATTCATATAGGTACCATATGAACAAGAAGCATTGGGAGAACAGCTTGAGAATGAGGTCTTGAATAGTAGATTGGATCACCAAACAAGTCGGCTCAAGGAATGTTTGTTCAGTTGTTTGGCTTATCTTAGTCAATATTTTAAAACCTGTTTTGAAATACATATCCATTACCTTCCAATTCAATGGCACATATTTGTAGCTAATGTGTTTGGAGAAGAAAACTATTTGCCTGATTCAACCCACTGGATTCAAAGATCAATCACTGCTATAAGTCAGTTCTAACTCAACTTGCTCACTCATATGTTACCTATCAATTTTTCATATTGAAGACCAAAGAATAGAAGAGAAGATAGAAACTTGATTCATCCAACTCTACATCTCCTCCATAAAACAAAAAGTACCTTGATTAGATCAAAATTACACTTTTTTGATACATCAGATGCCTTCATCATAGAAACTTTGAATAGGTCCAACAAAAGAAATCATTAGGTTTATTAGTTTGGTTTTAGTAGAACAATCCAAATATTTCTTATGCTTTGTTATTCTACTCTTTGTCTATTCATCTTTTTTTCTATTTTCAAATCATTTTGAAAATTATCTTACTTGTTGAGTATAAAGAACCCATTTTTAATGGAGAAAATCAATTTGTAGAATGTAAAATTCTTGTTATTTTGAAATCTTGATATACTTGAAAAGAGAAAGAAAACAAAGAAATGGTGAAAAGAATGATTATAGCTACATGTATGTATATTGAATTCACTGATTCAAAGCAATCTACATGGTTTGGAGATGTAAGTTGAAATTGGTATTCTGATAATTAATTCTCTATCACAAGAGGTTTGATGTCATTTCAGACCTGCAATGACTCACTGATACATTAGTGAGAACTTTTTACAATTTTTAATTATGAAGGTGACAAATTGTGGGACCATATCTGCACTGGTGCTAATATGAGTGTGTGGATGAGCTAGAGAGCAACCCCACAACAGAGGGAGTGGTGAAGTCAGCTCACATGAAAATATGAGATAGTTTCAATGTGAGGTCAAGGCAATTGAAACAGGTGATTATTGGGTGGCTGCAGCAATCTGGTGTCTTTTGCTTTGTGTGTCAAAATTATTGAGCTCAGTTGTGAGCTATGTTTTTGTATTGGGGTGTTTAGTGATAGTGTGTCCTAATAGATTGAATGTGTGACATGTGTGCGCCTGGGGCTGTTTAAATACTTGCATAGGAAGATTCCAGGGTTGGAGATGGATAAAATGAATGATCACAAGAAAATGGTGTTATTGAATTAATGAAACATGGTTCAATGATGTGGCGCCCGCCACTGATCGGCCTAGTTACAATATTAAAAGGATACTCAGGATACTTCAAAACCCGGAGGACACAGCCGGCCAAGCGCTTTGGTTACCAATGCCTGGTGCAACAACAATTATTGCTAATACATACTGTCAACCCATCATATTATACACCAAAAATCTCGCTGCAACCATGCACACCTGCCCTTTCTTTTTGCCTGCCACCTCCGATATTCAACCCATCATCATTGCACAAACCCTAACCCTCAGTCAACCCGTCACTACCTATACCTCACCCTAATTCGGAATGGTATACTCTACACAATCAATGTGCAGATGGTTGGGATGGTATATATTGCCCAAATGCGGAGGTTTTTGCAAAATTAGCCAAGGCAAGTAGGCAAGCAAGAAATGAAGAATGGGCTCAAAGTTTTGCAGGTTTACCAGAGCCAGATGTGATATCCCTGATCTCAGACAAAAATGATAGACTTGCATGTATGTGATCTTCTACATCTGTATGTCAGCTTAAAGATGTAAATAACAGCCTAAAAGATGTAAATGTCAAATAACCATTTGCCAAGCTCAGAAAAGTACCATCAAATTGAAAACTTGGGTGCTCATCTCAATGCCTATTCTTCAAGAGAAAAAATGTGTTTCTTTGCTAGAGGTTGGAGCAATGATGTACCAAAAGTAGAGGAAATCATACAACAAAAGTTGATGAAAAATGCGGATCGTTGGCTTGCTCAGGTCAATTTTGTTATTTTCTTGTCGCAATCTTCTTTGCAGAAACACACGTATCTTTCATTGATACTAAAATGGCCTTGTTTTACTGTCCATATAGGATGAGCAAGTTTGTGGTGAAGTGGTGACCACTGTGGCGGATTTTGTAGATTCCCCCAGTATACGGTGATTGAAAAACTTCATCAGACCCAGTCTATATGCAACAAGAAGTTTGATTACTTGGACACACCTGTTTTATTTTGCCTACAAAAAAGTAGAGCAGCACTCTTGAATACCCAGCTTGCGTTGAAAAGCACCATGGTTATTTTGTGATAATCCAAGGAGACCTAGCTCATTCAACTTAGACTCTATCATGATGATGCAACTAAGGAAGTTCAGATGAAACACTTGTACTGCTCTCCAAGGCTACAAACAAGGTCAAATGTGCTACTGGGAAAGTACGAAATCTGAATGAATATATGTTTATGATTGAAATATGAGATATTCCGGCGGATGTACAATCAGCAGATATTCAATTACCTAGCTCATATTAGCAATGAAATCCCTTCAAAAGCTTTCAAAGTCATATGTTTTGACCCAGCCTGAAGGCAATGGGGAGTCGGCACTCGATTGCATTTGGGTCACAATACGCAAGATACGCTATAAACTATACAAATGGATAGGCCTCGGAATATTAGTATGAAACAGGTTGAAAAATAAATTTGTATCCTCTTCACCTGGTTTTGTCTATGGCTCAGCTTAAGCTAAACTATTCTGAGCATTCTCAGATATCTTTTGACTGTTTTGATTTCCTTTGAAAACCCAAAGGAAATCACCTCATATGTAAACCAAAACTGTGCAGAATGGTGAGGGTCTTGATAAAAAGGAATCACATGAGAGTTCAATTTTTACCATACTGTTGGTTAAAGCCTTGATTTCAATCAAACCTTTTGAATATCATCTACAATTGTTTTCAAATTGTGGTTAATTTGATTGTGAGGGTGTAAGGATACATACCTATGGGTTTACATAGATTACAACATACAGTATAGCTAGTTATCTAGCTCCTGGTTGGGTTCCCCTTTCTCCTCACGAACCCTGACCGGAGCTAGGTATGTGTCTACTTTGATTCTTTCTTGTTTCTTTTCTCTTATTGTGATTGTTGTCTGATGGCTGGGTTTCCTTCTCCTGACAAACCCTGACTGGAGCTAGCTCTTGAACTGGAAATCAATCCCGAGTTCTAGATAGCTTTCTGTGGTTATTAACCACCGTGAGATCGTGCCAAAGTCCCAGTGAAGGTTCTATAGTTAGAACCTTACTTGAGAGTGCTCTATGCTCACTAAAGTTGGAAAATGGGTAGTGTAGTAATGAAATTTGATTCTTTATTTCAAATGTGTAGTATTTACAAAATGAAATAAAGAAAAGAAAGAAAGTAAAAGAGACTGATAGTCTGTTTGGATAAATCCAGACAGACTACAGTTAGATGACTCCTTAAAAGGAGGTTTGATTTATAATTAATAATTATTATAAAGTACAAAGGCTGGATCCAAGGCCCTCCTTTAATCTTTAAAGTAACAGATTAAAGAGTGAGGTGAAGGTCACTAGTCTGGTTGTTACAAAGTCACCAACTTATGGTTATTCAGAAGGTACACCAACCTGAGATTTGATATAGGTCACTAACCTACGGTTGTTCAGAAGGTACACCAACCTATGAGTTGATATAGGTCACTAACCTGTAGTTGTTCAAGAGGTAACTAACCTTGAAGTTAATTGGAAGGTCACTAACCTAGAAATGTTCTACTTCGGGAAAGTAGAGGATCCAGAAAGGGGAAGAAAGAGATTACTTTATCTTTTAGTCAGGAAGCTGCTTTAAAGATATGAAGTGAATCACTAGTCTTATTATTATAAGACTTTTGATTATGTACTTCAATTGAACTTTAAAGGGTTATTTAAAAGATGTGTGTAATAAATTGCTTGGGGGATTTTCTTGAATGCTGAGAGAGGAGGGGATTATATACTCTCCTCTCTAAACCTAACTGTAGTGGTATTTGTTTGTATCACAACATTGGTTTAGGGTTTGTTGTTAATGATTGCTATGATCATTATTAATTATGCTTAATTACATATACACACTGTATATTATGTAGTATAAGCATTTGAAACCAAAGCATTTTAACTCTTGACACTGAGTTATGAGGTGTTAATGATGTTTTATAACATACTACATGTGGTTTTAAGTGTACATGTATATGTAATTAATATTTTTACGTGTTTTATTACATGTTACATACTGTCTATTGGCCATATGTATATGTAATTAGGTTTGTATATGATAATGCTTTATTGCAAGTTAGTTTTGGGTACATGTATATGTACTCAGGGCTGACATTGATGAACATGAAACTACACAGATGGCAATGTTTGAAACTTGAAAGGATAGCATTCTTGATAAGAATCTCTATTACAGTCCTTCTGTCCAAATCACCCTTGACGGACCATTTGACTGTTAAATAACTTGTGGCACTCTGATGAGTTGGTCTTCACATTATTGGGAATAGCATCAGCAAGCCTCTGGTATATGTAGTATTTCAAAGGTGGAAACTGAATACATATCAATCACTGGGAGATCAATGATGGTAGCCAAAGGCCAAGACCGTGATGCAACAGGGCCAAGCGGAATTTTCACTTGGCAAATGAATATCTTGTTTGTTCACAAATCATCTATGTATGTAGTTCACATGAACTTCAAGTTCACAAAATGTGTTGTGAACTTCAAGTTCACAAAAACTTCACAAAAACACATTTTGTGAACTTCAACTTCACAACGCATCTTGTGAACTAGATGCAGATTTTTATGATTTTCTGCAAAGTATGCAAGTTGGTATCCCTATTGATTTACCAACTTTCTTCTTGAGTTAATATGGGACCCCTGGTCAGTTATCTTGTAAAAGCTCCATTGGTGAACATTTGCTTACCTGATCTTTCGTCAAGAAGTGGTTAATAATGTCAATCATTTGATTGCCTAATCATCATGGTCAACAGCCTGAGACCATCAATACCAATAAATTTTTGACAACCATCACTTGGCATACCCTTCAGGTTTTCTTCTAGCAATACGTTTCCTATCCAATAGCCTAGTCGCCTTTCCTTTAGGTTTTCAACCCACCAGTGTTGTCTTCATCGAGTGCTACTTCTCTTCATGTAAGTTGAGACACACTATTGTCTTATCCAGCGACGCTTTCTTCATATATATAAATTCAAAGTACTATTTGATTGATCCTGACTGACTTCTATCCAACTAGTGATGGCACAACATCGGGCAGAGACCAAAACTGAAGTTTGGCTCAAGGGACTTAATGGAAAACGTAACCCCACTGCCATAAAATTCTTAGCGGAGGACCATGTTACTGGAACACTTGCAAGTCAAAAAAAATAAGAGGGCTCAATGGAAGTCCTTTAATCAATACAGGGAACATATGAAAAAAGACAAGAACATCATCATCGAGGAAACACCACCAACAATTGATGACTACCTAGATTATCTCTCAGATATGATTGGCAGTCCTGAAAAGAACTATACTGATGGTCTCTGCCGTCCACACAACCATGGAAAAGCAGTAATTTCTACCCAAACTATCAGCTCTAAATTTGTAAACCTTGTGCAATATGCATTGGACCATCATAAGGGTTATGTCATGGACTGTGTCGATCAAAAAACCTTGTCTTCAGCAATCCAAGACGCAGAGGATTGGGGTGCTCTTAGTAAGGGAATGTATTATCCCCGCCGTAAGGTCACTATCACGGCTGTCCAGCACATGAACACAGCAACACTCACCAAACTGGCTTACACTGGATGTTCAAATTGGGACACAGAAATATCAAGATTGCTTACGGTCTCTCTCGCTCTTGCAACTGGATGCCGGGCCGGTGCTGTTGGCCTTAGTCAAGGGTATCAGAATAACAGCCTAATGCAATATCAACATATTGAAATCTTCATGAAACCCAATTCCAGTGGAGCTGCCAGAATGGAGGATGTGCTAGGATGTTTTATTGAGGTGGCTTTTGACAAGGGCAATAAAGATGGGCAGACGGAAGGCTTGATTCATTTTGTTCAACCACAGCTCCAATGTCCCATGATCTGTCCCGTCCACTGGATCTTGATACATACTCTGAGACACAGTCTGGTCATCAGAGACATCCTCGATGGCGTTTTCCAGCACGCTCAACGACAATCAAACCTCACAGTGAAGTGGAAGCATCCAACTGCCCCTGTGATCTGCAAGTTGAATTGTCGCAGTGGTATTCTTATGGGACAGCCTGCAACGGCCCTTGAGGTTTCCAAATCTCTACGCCACATCGCAAAGCTCTCTGGGCTCAAACAGACAATTTCCTTTCATGCTATGCAGAGGGGAGTGGCGGAAGATGGTGCCACGCTTGGACCTCAAGCAGAGAAACCGTGTTTCAATTTTGATACAGCCCAGCTCATACTCCATCATTTGGATAAAACAAAACATAGTGGAACAACGGCTTGTTATGCTGGCAATAACCCTGAATGGGATCATCTCACTGAATGATTCAAGCATTGTAAAGCCTCCATGAGGGATCTAGATATCTTTCAATCCAACATCACTGTCATAGAAAAAAAATCACCTTACAATAAGATTGTCTACCTCCAGAAATCATCAGATTATCAGCACAATCCACTCCAGAAAGACCTGATGGACCATGTGATGAGACTGAATTCAATGAGTTGACTTGACAGAGACAATCATCAAGATGATCCAATGGTGGATGGATCAAGTACCGGTGTGTCTGTCTTTTTCTCTCAACTCCATCCTGAACTCAAACTGATATCTGGTTCTCATCCCTTCCTTCAGCCTGGCTGGAGCCATCAAGCACAGGCCTCATGGATGATCATGAAGTGAATCATGAAAAGAAAACTCTAATCAAACCTCAAACAGTGGAAGGAGGGGAGGAGGAGGAGGCCAACATGACTTACAATGAAGATGCTTCAGCTTAAGGCCCCGTTTGGTACAGCTTTCAGCTATTACACATACATTAGAAATTAATAGATTATGCAGTGTATAATCCATTATTTTATGAAGCCAATTTTCAGATCTGCAATTCAATTTTCAAAGCAAAAAACAATTGATGGTGTTCAGTCTTGTTTGGTATTTCACCAAACAAGACCACATATGAATCAAAATATGTCATTTCTTGATCGGTTGATTTGGTTTTGGACATCTAAGAGATCAACTGAACTTGGCTATTGATTCATTGATGACTCGATAGAATCATCAAATTGATGGTTCAATGGAGATGATCAATAGCAAAATCACTCGGTCCAAGTCTGGACCCCTTGGTCTATATGCTCACCAAGAAACAAGTGATGTTGATTCTATTATCACCAGTAATTGAATGAAAGACAAAAGGCAAATCAATGATTATGAAGATCAAAAATGAAAGTTGAACTTGTAAGGATCACAGTTGTTAGCAAAGATCAAAGTCAAGTTACAACAATTGAAGTACAAATCAGAGTAGAGTTGATAGTCTGAACGTTTGAAGTTGCTTGTGTGATGGAGAAAGATTTGTTTGTAGTCGGCGAGATTTTGATCGGAAGTGGTCTAACTTAACACAAGTCCAAATCTACTGCAGGGCTCTCTCAACCTTGCAAGCTTGGTGCCCTGGGTAGGGAATTGCCACTAATTGCATACTTTTGGTGGTTGAGCAGGAACCCAAAACCCCCGTTCAGCTCTACAGCTGCCTATCTTTTGTAGTTTGAATGCTACAGATTTTCTGAGGAGACCAAAATCTTCTGGAGAATGAAATGTACACCTTTCATCTTTGACCACAGCTGTTGGATCAAATGGCAGTCCTCTTGCATTGAAAGAGGATCGTGTTTGATTATAAATTTCATTTTGAAAATACAGTCACTGCCACCAACCAAATTTCAGATTCCAAAAACATCTGTTCTTTTTTGTGGATGCTCAGAAAAAGTTAAGGGAATTCTGAATAGACAGATGTGTTGAGAATTTCTTGAAGTATCTCCAGTTAAAAATCAAACAGGGGTTGATTGAGTGGAAGTGGGACTTTTTGAGGTGGTGAAAAAGTCTCCACACCAAACTCAAATTTAAGCAGTCCTGCTCGACCAGCAGGGAAGCCCAATTAGTCCTAAGTCCCTCACCAGACACCCAAGCTTGCAAGGAAGAAGTGTCCCAGAGAACCAGAGGACTGCCGGAGGGTGGGATTCGCGGGATTGGGAATGGGCTGTACAAACCTGAGCTCACCGCCACGTGTCAGTCTAGTGGTTTAAGCTGAGAAGTATACAACCGTCTTCTTTGTAAACATTTGTCCCATCGGCATACACAGAAACCGTAGTTTGTCTATGTCTTTAATGCATTTTGAGTACAGTAATGCAGTGTGCAATCAATGATCTCGACCAATCATAACTTTCTACTCTGATCAAATATCCTATGTATGAACGTCTTATGATTTCTTCAGATGATTTCAATTTGGAAATAAACTAATTCTTCACCAAAAAAATGACACTGAGAATGTGCAATCTTGAACTCTATCCAGGAATGATGGGGAGGGAGGGGGAGGTATCTAGCAATACTCTTATGACCAAGTAAATGCATTGATCAAAACTTGCTCTCTATCAACAATAATGAGGGCTTGAAAAAGTGACCAGCATCATTGACCAACCCAGTCATGACAAGAGACAAGATGAAATACATATGCAGGTCAATAAGACAGTAGCCTTGCCGGATTGGGAGTTGGGTATATTCTGTACGCCTATTCATTTGTACTTCCATTCCCATTCCCATCCCATTCCCAATCTCCGGCAATCCTCTGGTGCTCCCAAGTGTCTGACTGTGGGACTTAGTTAAGTTAGGGAAGTGGTCTTGAGTCTTGATGCGACAGAGCCCCGAGTTTTGAGGCTTCCTCCAGGTAATAATGGATTATTGAAACTTGAAAGATGGTCTAGAGCAGCTTTCAAAATGATCAAAAATAATGGATTATCGACTATAAAATAGCCGTGTTCAAACCAAACCCGGTTGCACAAAAACCCGGTACACCCGGTCAACTTTTTGGCTGGAAGGTGTCAAGGGCTGTCACTAGATAAACAAAGTTATCACCAAAAACGCAACTGAGTGTACTGGGTTTTTGTGTCAACCAGGTTTGGTTTGAACACGGCTAATGGCTTTTGAAATGAGGGGCAAAAGCAATAACAAACAACTTTTTTTGAAAAAATGTAAAATGGATTATTTTCAAAAAATAATACATTTCTCCCCGTTTTTGTAAGCTATACCAACCGGGGCCTAAGTTTGAAGGTTTCCTTTCATTTCTCATCATCAGTCATTTCACAACCTCATTTTGCAACCAACTCAATGGCCAATCCTACACCCAGAGATTCAACTCATTCACAAATCTTCAAACCAAAAAAAGGTATCATCAAAAGTGAATTCATATTCCCTTCTCAAAAAGTTGACTTCCTACACAAACAAACAAACAAACAAACACACACACAAGTGACGACACACACATTCCACAAAAAAACAACCAATCCTAATATGCAAAACAACAACACATTTTTTTTCAACACACAACACAGCGCATGCACACACACACACAGAAAAGATGAAAAACACATAACAAACACCTTTCGACTTTGGATTCTTACAACCTCTATAAACTTCTTCACTCTGAAAAACTTGACTACTTTTGAGAAAGAAGAAAAAGAAATCAAGAAAGAAACAAAAAAAAGTGGTAATTGATAGACTTTCTTTCTCTTTTGATATAATCAATGATAAAGAAAGTTGATGAGAAAAGTAAAAAAAGAAAAACTGTCTTCGTATTTTCCAACTTTAAATGAGCAAAAGGATAGAATGGACTCAAATCAAATCAAATAGATAGAGGTCAGAGGAAAAGAAACCCACGAAAGGCAAGTACAAAAGAAGAGACGAGAATGAAAGAAAAAACATTCAGAAAAGAGGGATATGATGAAAAAAACGAGTTTTTTCTCGAGTTTTTTGTGGATTTTCAAATTGGATATCAGTCCCTAAAGATAAAGATTCTCAGTTTGTATATATGTTGTATATACGTGTCTTTAACATATCCTCCTCTTCTTTTGTCCTCTCTAATCATCTTTTGGTCATAGTGAACTAAACTCGAATGATATCAATCTATAAAAAATAAGAAAATGGCAACAAGTAAAGAGATGTAAAATAAGAGTATCCATTTATATTTTCGATAACAAAAGCACTGATCGAAGCGACTTTCTTCATTGATCATAGCCTTGCCAAGTTAAAAAGGTATCCAAGAGATCAAACTGAGTGCCAGTAGGACTCGTCATAGAATCATTCCCTGGCGCGTTACTACTACTTGGGTTTCCATCTACACCTGTGTTCTGATTGAGACTGGTGTTCCTACTCAAGCTCGAAAGATTCAATAGTGGAGGACTAGTAGTGGTCGAAGGAGGTAAAGGTTGAAGCCTAGGACTCTCATACGAAGGACCAAAGATCGTACTATAAGCATTGGCGACTCCATTCGGGCTGGTCAATGACAATTCATTACTGGGAAGAGCCATAGGAGGATGGAAAGGTTCGTTGAGACCAAAGTAACCTGAATGGGTGGGTTGAGAATGTGGCACTGTAAACATCGGATTATAGGCTTGACTATCAGGTTCGATACTCAAATTTTCCCAATAACCTGGGTTATTGAGTGAAGGACATTCTTCATCATCAAACTCGTTTGGTGAAGAAACGAGGCCCCACGATCGGCTATTGAAAGATGCAGCGAGTGTGCCATTTGGTCCATTATTATGATTTGGGAGATTATGACAACCGAGGTTGTTGATCGCATGTTGAGTCAAGCTATGGCTGCCATTCGGTGATCGATCATTTGTGGTAGCCGATCCAAACGAAGTGCCTCGTGATCGACTAGAAGAGCTCGCCGAGGGAACACGTCCGGATGCGGCTGAAGAGGTGGAGATTGATTGTCGGCGACTCTTTCTAGTCAGTCTCGTTGAGGCTCCCAAATCACAAGGCAAGTCGTCCACTCCACTATCGCTTCGAGAAGCAGAAGCTCCATAAGATTCAAGGTAATGAGCCAAAGGTGTGGAGCCTTCATCCTGACCACTACCCAAACTGAGAGGTCGGAGAGAGCGTCGAGTAGAAGACAAGTTTGATAGTCGCCTCGGTTTAGGTAGCGGTTGACCAGACTTGTAAGCATTGAGGGCTGACAAAGCATGGCTATTGAGTCGATTCAGTCGAGTAAGTAAATCACGACAAAGAGGTGTGTGAGTGGCAGCAGTCTCAAAGACAGAGAGTGTCGCCCTCAAAGTCGCCCAGGCATGTTTAGTCAAGAGAGAATTGGGAGAGGTGATCAAAAGAGATGCAACACATGTCGCGCCGCTGTAAGCATGAAAGAAGAGATACCACCATCGATTCGCGACGTCCGGGTAGATATCTTGAGCAGCCTTGGCGATCGTGATCAGGTTTCGAGATGACTCTACGATGACCGAAATGACGCTTGTAGCAAACGATGAATGGAGAGGCTCTGAGGGAGAATCAGAGAGAGCCAAAGCGAACGCTCGACGATGAAGGAACAGAAGCGTCTGGTTCTCCAAAACTGCCATACAGTGCTAGAATTGAGAAGACGGATGATCGAGAGTGAGTCTATAGTTCAGGGAAGCCGAAGGGCATTGAGCGGGATTCAGCGACTGACCTGTTGCATGATAAGCTGCAAGCTAGACGTGCCGTCACAACGAAAGTTGGCATCTGGGAAAGGTATATCCAACGAAGGACCGTTGGAGATGAAGGGTATAACACTACACCTGATGGAAGCTGGTAAGCCCCCATCAAACTTGCGGATCTCTTGGTCAAGTCGATTGATCACGGCCAATGAAGGAGCGGCAACGCTGAAGACGTCGTCAACCACTCTTCCAATGCAAGAAGAGAATCGCCATTTGTGAGTCCAAAAACTTAATTTAGGCCCGTTGTCCTGTTCATCATTGTGGTTATCTTCCTGCTCAGGAACATGAGTGTCATAATGCTTGTCACTGTTTCGGGCAAATATTCCGGTGTTAGCCAGAAACTCAAGGGTCGGGGCTCTAAATTAGGGATGGGATTCACCTTATGGCATAAGGTCGTCCAAGGACTAAACTTTGCAGTCGATCTAATGATAAGATCTCATGGAACGTGCGACGACGTTGATCCAATTCGGAAGACTCCAGGCCCCAGTTAGACCCATCTGTAACACGCAAGTGTCAGAAAATTGAGCAAAAGGAACGAAGGATAAAGGATCGGGCGCCCAATTGGGTGGATGTGACTGAATGGATTGCGTCATTCGACGATAAGACTTACCTCGATGAAGTCCCATTGATTGGCACAGCCTCATTGCAATGCCAAGAATAGGCCATAATGTCTCAGCAGCATCAATACGGGTGTTGAGCAAATAGATGCCCATCATATGAAGACTCTGAAACACGAAAACATTCGAAAAGGGAAGAGCGGTGCTCAAATCAGTTCAAGATAGAAGGTTTGCTTGAATGATAAGATCTGACAAGTACCTGAATAGCTGAAAGAGTCGGATTGGTGAGGAAGTCGGTTGACATGAGACACGTTTCGCAAGCCTCATGCCATTGACGAGCTTCAGAATTGAATGCCTGAACTCCTGGATCAAAAAGGACACCAAGGGCACTAGCAGTCCGGTAAACACGGAATAAGTCGGGAGCTCATCAACTTAGAATGAGAATTGGTGAACGTACAAAATTGCGTAAAGTAAGGCTAATCTAGTCAAACATAATTCGTCACCCTGGTCTCCATAAACTTCTTCGATCAAACTGGTCAACTCGCTGCGATTCAACAATGCATACAAATGTGACACAAAATTGTAATACGCGTCCTAAGAGGACAGACACGTTTTCCCCACAAACAAGCAGGAGACCGACGAGTTTCAGTGGCGTACTTCAAAGTAAGGTATTTCAACATGATACTCACACCAAGACGTTCGGCGCCTGACTTATCGGGCAAGAATGACTTGAGGTGCTTTATATCGAAGCGGTGACCAGGTGGTCGCGTAAACAAAGCAGAGCCGGGCCGAGGACCTCCGAATCCTGAAGACTCATCTGGTTCTTCCGAGGTGCCAGGAGTGGAAGATACTGATTCCGAATCCGAGCAATCCTGTGGGGGAAACAAGTTTTGGAGTACACCAAGATAAAATTAGAATCACAAGGATAGAATGGTGTGCTGGCACAAGGTGCAATTTTGGCATACCTCATCGAGATAAGCGCTGCTTGCGCTCCTGATAAAGACAAAGAGGATTAGACAAATTGCCGAGTTTTAGAAATAATTGAGTTCGGATAGCTCACAAGCCAAGATATCTTGCTCTCCCATCTCCACTGAGATTGAGAGTTCCCATAACATCTATCAATGATGGAAGAGCATTATCTTGATTGTTGGATGACCCATTAGAAAATATACCTGGAAGAGCAGGTAAAAAATCGGTCGAATTCAAAAACTGTGAACTGGAGGATTGTTCAATCTGCCTATGCGGCAGCTGTTGAGCTTGATGAGATTCCTGAGCAAGAAGAAGCTGATCCTTTTGGTGTAAAAGGTTCTCCAATTCTGAAATCTTCGCCAATAGAACAGAAGTGTCTTTGGATCGAACTTTGGCTTGTAGGGTACCTTCAGGGCAAATGCGAGCACAACCACTAGATAAATCAAGTCAATAGATGCACCAGGAGAGGAATGAAAGGATTGTTTGTTTGTTTGAAATGAGACAATGCAGGTGACTAACCGCTTCGTACATGAACCGCACGGCCAAACTCGGTCACCTGATTATGCATCGGAAGTGGAAGATCATAAAATTTGAGAATGATAAACCCAAGCAAAAGATACATATGAGAAGGATAAGGGAATATTTTGGTCGAATTGAATATAAAGATAGATGGATATATTTGAAGATTCGAAATCCATAGGATTACATGAAATAGGATGATCTGGAAACCGACATTTGAGCTTCAATCTTCGACATTCTGCACAACTGAGCCGATGACGAGGTCTTCGTTTAGGAGGGGCAGATTCATCGTGTTCGTTGGGTGGACGATAAGGATATTCTTGCTTGATGTTCGAGTCCATTGAAAGGAAGAGATGAGAAAACTAAAAAGTCAAGTACAAAAGACAAAAACCGAGATTCGAGACAAGAGACGACACTGTTTGAAGAAATGAAGATCAATAAACATGGTCAGATGAACAGCTTGACCAACAGAAGGGTGAGTTTTGTAGAGGAGAAGGAATGCAAAAACGTGTGGTGGCCAAAGAGAAAAAAAAACGATCAAAACGAAAAAAAGAGCTGACACAAGAGCTATAATCTGAGCAATTGTTACAGTACAAGATTTCAAACCAAGTATGGAAAAAACTGAATTAATTTGAATTTGGGATTTTGTCAGACTCAAGACTCGATTGTAGATTAGACAAAGCAGGGAGCTCGATTAGATTAGGGTCAAGAAGTGGACTGGCTGGTGGTCAAAGGATCGTTGGAAGATAAGGAGTGATTCGGAGGTTGAGTGAAGATGAGTGAGTTCAAACACTTTTCAGCTCGCGTAAATTCGGATGGATAAAGGGTCGATGGGGTAGGGTAGGCTGATGTAATATAAACGAGTAGTTTGGAAATCTGGGGAGGGGGGCTCACGAAAGACTAAGTGAACAAACAATCAACTAAAATTGAGTGTGTGATGACGACTTTACTCAAGCCAAACTAAAGATGAAAGATTAAGAAATTGAAGTTTAAAGTAAGAGAAAGTCATGAAGCAGACCAAAAGTCAGAGGATGAGTGTAACCTTTGCAGTGTATGAACTACAGAGTGATTGAGATGAAGATTGAATCGATAAGTCGTAAATGTTGCTCGTTTGAAGGAAATAAGGTCAACAGCTATAAACCAGTTCGCGTTTGGATTGATTTGTTCGACCGTTGAGCAAGTTCGCGTCCTCAGCTTAAGTTGATGGGATCACAACCTCATGAAGCGCCACCACTGAAGATGATGGTCGAGAGTAAAAGAATGGTTTTGAATTGAGAATCGATATTGGGAATGAGCTTTTAAGGATGAGAACCTCACCAAATTAAATTGTTCGGCGAAAGATAGGTGAATTAAAAGACATTCATATCACTCAGCTTGTTATTTCGAATCAGTCCGTGATGAATTTTTGATCAGAAATTAGTAGTTTAAAATTTAGATATGGATAAAAGACAGAGATGGGTGGAAGGGTTTAGAATTGGATATTGGTATAGTACGTCATATCTCATCTGTACGTGTAATAAGTGTACATTTCTCCTCATTTCTCACAGCGGCCGAAGCAATCAGCCCGCTCTTCACTCATTCTTGTCTTCACTCGAAGGTCTGGATGAGAGAAAGTGAATGGTCTGATAAGATTGATGAAGACATTTTGATTCGACCATCATCCTGCATATGTTGTAATTTGTAAAGCATAAGGCTGAACTCACTCAACAGCATCGGGGGTCTGATGAGCTTCAAGCTGCAGTGATGGACATTGATGGTTTCGGTATTTTGTCGATCGTGGTTTTGGAATGGACCTTTGGGCATTCAAAATCTGTACACACATGTCCAATCGATTCCTGATAAACTTGGCTCCTCAAAACCTCAATGAAGGTTGGGCTTCTTGCATAAGTTGCTTGATTTGACTTTGTAAGATATGCTTCATTGTATGCGTTTACGGCTATCATAGCTCATCATTTGAGGATGCGAGACCCCAAACAATTACTCTGTTCATGGTTTCATTCAGATAGGTAACAACCCCATTTATTCAAGAGATCTGTAGTCAACATGAAAGCAAACTAGAAGTGATATTTAACAAACTACTTTAAGCAGTTATAAGATATCCTTGCAAGCTTGATGACCGTTCTTTGAAGCAGCTCTCTATTAATGGAAAAGTCAATGCAAACCAGGAAAGATTTATCCTCCCGATTTATCGAACCTGGTCTCCATGAGGCATTTTTGAGTCATTTGATAAGGAAAAAGTGGAACACTCACATCCCCACATTGCAACCGTATGATTGTTTTTTTTCAAGCATCACTAAGAAGCTCGTGACTTGATTTCACTCGGAAAAACTTCAGCCGTGTTCTTCCATTTAAGAATTTGGATGATATAAAAATGTGAAGGGCCACTGGCGTCCACTTCTATTTAGCAGTTTACGCGGATCACTTTCTTTACAGATTCTTTGAGGATATGTTGGTCGAAACATGAATACATAAATGCCATCTTGATCACACATCGAGTGAAAGAATTTTTGAGAATTTCCGGCGATCTTAACTACCCGGATCATGATGAATGACGAAATTACTCTAAAACTCTAGACGAAAGGAATTGAGCATATCATGACTTTCATTCGCACAAATTATGTATGTAGCTATTGGGTTAAGAAGGCACTTGATAGAGATTCTTGATGCAGCTATTTGGGTCCCATCGACTTGATCTACACCGACGAGATGAAGCTTAGAATGATGATACACATCCATCTAGAACCGCGCCCACTTGCCTCAGGCTTTAGGCCATGTTAAATTATCATGCTATCAAAGGTCCAGATACTCACTGCACTCTATGCGCTAGCACAAGAGTTGTACTAGGGAGTTTAGTGCATAGCTAAATTTTGATAGTAGTATCAGTGGTTTGTCCAAGCTGGTATTCCAGAATCGTCGAAGGCACAATATCCAAATCTCCTTGTCTTGAGAGCTATCCATATGAATCACTGTTAAAGTGATCTACCCTATATCACAAAGTCATGTCTAAGGGAGATTTCAAGTTCTACAAAATTTATATGCGCCTAAAGTTGGCTTAGGAGGAATTCAAAATGATAAGATATCACGGTCGCATTTTTCTTGGAATGCATTCCAGAAGCCCAATTCACCACTATTGAAGATAGCTTTGGTGTATCAAGGCAGGTTCCGAAGTTTTCAAGTTGGACTATCCCAAGCTGAGGTCATATATTTCAGTACATTTCTTTGAGAGCCAAGAAAAAGATTGAACCTCCCCTGAGTCTATGAGTTTTTTCTAAAGAATTGATGTACTGTCATCAACCTCTCTGTGGATGCAAGCTACTGAGGAAAAATGCTGTTTTTTGACTCCTGGTCCATACATACATATACAATGTGACATGGATCTTTGAGTATATCAGAGAGACCACAATTGTGGATGTTTGGAACACTATTCAATCTTACATTGCTTTTGGCAAAAGGACATTCTTTCAAATCTATCTCTGAGGGGCCTAGCATTATTAGTACCTAGCGTCATAAATTGATCAAACATTGTGAAATAATCCAATTTCTTTGAAATTATGTTGAACTCCTTTAAATTCTTTGAAACATTTTCACAAATACAAGATCTTCATGTGGAGAAGATGATCTAAATCTTGTTCAAAAGCAGAGTACTTGTAACCATTCTTTCATATCATTGATCAGTTTTCTCTTACTTTTGAATGTTTTGATGATCTTTTTGAAATTGGTGGGGATGTTTCATGACTTTGGAAAGATAATTGGAATTACGGGATACAAAGTTAAAACTGGGTTTTTTTCCCAGTTTCCCAGTTTTTGTTTTTGGCTGTGTTTGGAACTTTCCCACGTTCTCCCAGTTTCCCAGTTTGCGCAAACACAGCCAAAAAGTCCGAATTGGGAAACCCGGAACAAATTCGGGTTTCTAGTTTGTATCCCGTAAATGAAGTACTTTATGTGGAGATGAAGGATAAGATGGGGGGAATTCTGACTTCGTACCACTACAGTCAACTTTTGCGCAGTGACTGCGCAATCATGTTTCCTTTTTTCGTCCAGACACCATCCTACCACCATCTTATCATCTTCAAACAATCATAACTCCCTTTATCGCTCTCAGAATCCCTCAATGCCACCTGATCCACCTCCTCTTACCCGTGATATTCGATTCGACCCAAAACGAGCACGACCGGACGCGGCAAACACGCGAACGAACACGATGGCCACCGGCGACCTAGACACGGACATGACCTCATCTACTGCTGCAGAACCCGTACAACGACTAGAGAACCTGTCCATGAACGAACTCTGGAAGTACCTGACCGTGAACAACAAGCTCGAGAACGGAGATGTTGTAGTACCGGCAAACCTGGCCCAGATCATGTCGGCCCTAATAATCACGATGCAGGATACGGCGTTGCGACTCAGTGCACTAGAAACGCGTCTACAAGGGTCAAACGAACCGACGACACGCTTGGAGAGACTTGAACAGCAACTTAAAGCCCTGATAGACGCACAACAAGTACAATCGGCTCCCCAACCTAACGTAAATGGTCTCCCGGCTAAACCAAAATCGTGGGCATCTACAGCAGCTGAAGGCTTGAAGATCACCTCAAACCGAGCTCCGCCACAACCACTGTCAAACCAGATCATCAATGCATTCAGGCCAAGTCAAGTTGTCATAAGGTGTTTAGAAGGAAAGAAACCTTTTGAAGGCATCAAAGCAACTGAGATCGTCAATCGCGTCAACATGGCACTAGCTCAACTCGAAGTCAAGATTGCAGGCAAAAAGATCGAAGTCAAAGGGGCGGCTAGCTTGCCCTCAGGGAGCATCAAGCTTTTTACAGCAACCCGAGCTGAGGCTACCTGGTTACTCGAGAATAGGACACTTTGGACGACGCTAGCTGATCCAGAATTGATCACATCTCCAGCCGTCTTCCCAGCAGTAATCAATTCGGTCCCAATTGAATATTACACAAGAGTAGACGAAATCAAACACTTGCTGTCCGAACAGAATCCAATCCCGAATGACATGATCCACTCTATCAGATGGCTGAGCAAACCGTATCCAGAACAGAGAAGTGGCTCTATCTTAATAAATTTTCTCGATAAAGAACTGACAAACAAAATGGTTCGTGGCTCGGTATATTTTGAAGGCAACAGCTTGAGGGTTAGAGCATGTAAGAGAAGTAGGGTACAATGTTATCGTTGTCAAGAACCAGGCCATATCAGTATGCAATGTAAAAATGAATTACTTTGCAGACACTGTGGTGCCAAACATGACTCGAGAATGTGCCAAACCTCCCAGACTGCCCGCCCTCAGTGTGTCAGATGCATCAATCAAGACGCAATACTCCAT